TAATTCCAGCACCCTTAGGGAAGCAGTTTCAACCAAGAACGTTCTATTATTACTCAGGTATTAATATTTTCCAGGTATTTATTAACAAATAACTCGAGGAATTATTAAGTTCCGTAGTTTTCATTTGTACTTATTTGTGATATAACAGTCACTTAATGATACTTATAAGAGTATAGTGACATGCCTTATATTGGCTGCAAATCTGCAATAGGAAAAACACGCGATGTAAATCATTTAAGTTGGGCAGAGTGCGATAATTTTTGGCGCCCACTCGCGCCTAATTAACCTTTTTCGTATCCCATTTTGGCCTACCTTAATTAACGTACCTGTCAGAGTTATATGCTTTAATCTTAATGTTTTGTGTAATAAAGGGTAGTTCAACTGTACAAATTAAAGCGATCAGTTTTTATGTTATCTTTGAAATACCACAGCGTTGATTTATCAATATGCCACTCTCTAGAAGGATTTGATTCTCTCAAAAAGGATGCCTTCATATTACCGTCCCACGCTTAGCTAAACGTTAAAATTGCAATTATAGCGATTACACAGTACTTAACAGTAAATTGTAAGACATTGTTAAAGTGCCAGAATAAGAGTTCGGCAATATTCACCAATTATGATACAGTTTAATTTGTACGTAATCATAAGCCAATCTGTGGCTTTTAACGGCATGGACTGACGGCGTTTGACGGATTCTGATTGGGGGTAAAGGTTTCATCCCATAAAGAAGCGCATTAAGTCGCCCCTTTGTGGTGTGTTGAATGTTAAAGAACACATATTCCACTTTGAGGTTATTCGGATTACCATTACTCTTCGGTAGACATGCCGCTCCTGACTGTTTCAACATTGTACCACACGCAATGGTTATTTGTTGACAAGTGAACGATGAGATCAAGCCAGCAATTCACGGCGCGGAACTGACGAGGCCAAGGGACGCCCTGCCGTATTGACGGGTGAGTTGTCTAACAGAGACAGTATCTGGCATCTACTGTACTAAAAGGTTTATAAAAACAATTTCAAGAATTATATATGCATTTGAAAACATTAATGAGCTCCAACGATCGATTGTTTTCTTGGCTATATATAGGCCATCGTAGTAGTTTAAGAGAAATATATGATCATGGCGTATAATTGTTCGTGACTTTAATCGTTCTTTTGGCAAGCAGTAAAATTCTTCTGGGATTGGATCTCGCTTCCAGTTAGTTATATCACGAATAATAGGGTCGTTAGAACCGTGATTGTTATTGACTTGTCAAAACAGACAATGAATCCGGCCCTGCGTGATCAATTTTGGATCGAATTGTTTTTGATATAATATAATTAACTGCAAATGCCAGTAAACAATATAAAACGGATTGGACGATATAGTCATGAATATCCCAGATATTTCTCAAGAAAGATACGAAGAGCCTGATTAAATGATTTCCGACCAACGTCTCTTTGACAACAAAGGGATTGATAGTTAATCCGGGGTGTATCCATTGATGCAGAACTATCCATTAGGAGAAAGAAAAGAATCACGGGCTCGAATCAATGTCAAATAAAATAGGAAAATATATTTTTATCCCAAATTGGAAGACATTTGCCTAGAAATTTAAGATCGAGATGGGAAAGATATATCTAATAAAAAGAAATTGAAAACTACAAAGTTTTAGTAACAAGAAAACAAAATCAGTTTCTTTTTTAAATTCCAACCAGACAGACGTACAAAGGATGAGGTTTGCGGTAATATTGTTTTTTTGTTAGGAATTCTAGGACTCTTTTAATTGCGTTTATCTTTATAGGTAAGTTTATTGTGCTCTTTCCTGTTCCCTGGCTATAACCATCAGAATCACGATTTGTTCCAGAGTAAGTACATTTTTACAGTCAATTCTCGACAGTTTTCTAAATGTCGATTTCGTCTGTGATGCAATGTTTGAAATAAAATTCAAACCTACAAATCAAAAATCGATCACGCATATGTAAATACAATTGTTTGAGATGCATTTCTAAAGTACTTGTAGAATTGAAAAGATATTTATTGCTGACGTTAACGGTGAATAAGTGTTTTGATTTTTCGGAATATCGGTGAGTGTGTTTAGTGTTTGTTTTATACTTATTTTATTAACTCTTTATGACTTAAGTACACATATTTTTTATTTCAGATATTTCTTCAAGATAATTCTAGATCCCTTGTATATTATCTCACGTGAAGTAAGTTGAATTGTAAACTGCGCCTAAACACACGCAGGCCGATGGGCACAACATCATACGCAGCTAAACATTTATTAACTCATTACGCATAGTTTTTATAATAATGCAACCAATATGCAAATTTACGCTAAGGGAGATAAATATGATCTATAGTAAATATTGACAGTGTCTATTAACCAGATATATGCGTAGTGATATCATGTATTTGTTTTAAAGTGAAATACCACGTCAGACAACAAGGTGAGAGTATTCTTAAATTCCGAAAAAGGATTCACTGATTTCAAAACATGTTTACGTAGCTTCAGACTAAGCATTGGAGAGAGGTAAGTAAGATATACATTCAAGGTACATGCTTTCGGCTAAGAATCTGGCAGGTCTAGGATTTAGACTAATATAGTACTACTCACCTATTAGAACTTAACAATTCTACTGGACTGAAAAGTGATAACATTAAGTCTTAAGTATGCATAACGGATATCAAGGCCGAGTTCTGTTTTGAAACTAAACAAAACGATCTGTGGATTAATCTATGTTTATCACAAAAGGTGAGACACTGTTCCCGGGTGCTTTGTTTTTACCACGGAAATCATGATACGTTCAAAAAGGAAAAGTTTCAGGTATTCCTCGAAATGTTTTGAAAAATGTCCCCCAGGAAGATAAAAACAAAACTGGTAATCAGGAAAGAAAAATATTTGGATCTCAATGGCAAGTACATCTGTGAATACTTTTGCAGCATTTTTAAGTAAAATATAAGTGTTTATACATGTAGAATGAAAAGGGCCAGATTTTCAGCCCCACTCCTTTTAGAAATTATTTTTAGACGGAACCGAAGATATCACGCTATAGAGACACATGATAGAATAATTGCACTCAACATATTATTTTAGTTCAAATCTGTCAAAAGTATTTTATCTAGAGCACTTTGAAGCCAATAAATTGAAAGGAAGTTAACTTTGAAGGATTGATTCATCCCGAAGAATAAGTTCTGGCTGCTTTTATTCATTTTAGGGGTAATACAATCAGCCTAGTAGTATTCATAGTATTTTAAAACTATTTAACACTAAATGACTGAGTAGAAACACATAAATTTAATTCAAATGATGTTATTCACGTTAATGTAATTCGCAAAACATAAATCTTTTAACATAAACTTTTGTTCATACACTACAAACCCTTTATTGTTAGTATTAGTATTTTAACGTTTCAAGACATTCCATCTTCACCTATCAAGATTTTTGTTAAACTTCTGTAGATATTGAAAAGAAAAGAATTGAGAATGCATGTGTACATAGATGTGAACTCAAGTTTGATTAAGCTTTGTCACAGTCAGAAACTTCTATGAAATTTATTGGCGCAATACTTGAACCCTATAATTTGTTACAATTTAAAAAAGAGATTTTTATGCGCATCGCTCAAAATGTCCCATCTTAGAGGAAACACATAGGCGTTTTTTGCCAATTGACAATACAGCAAACAAAAATACACACTTGGTTTTATTAATTTGACTAAAAGATATGATATAGACATGGTTTCCAATCACTGACATAACAATCGTAGATGCAAAGGCTGAGAATAGACTAAGTAATAATAAGTGGTAGTACTCTTTAACTGGACACCAGAGCATTTTTCATTTTTATAAGATTTTGTCATTTTCCTACTTTATTACAACATTTGAGGTTAAACGTTCAATAAAATTACGTCTGTAATTACGTCGTGTCATGCCAGATATTCTAAAGAGATTACCAAAGAGCCCTTTTTGTGAACGATTTGCGACTAGATTTTTGTCGCACTTGGTATTCAAGAGGATAAAGTTGAAAGATATCAATATTTTTCAATATCCTCAAAGCGAAATTCAAGATTCGTGGGTACTTAACTTAGTACATTTAGTGATGGTATGCCGTTGATAGGTTATTATAGAGTAGGTTTATATAAGTTTATATGTTGGCTTTTTTGTAAATAATATTTTGGTTCCGTCAGACTTACCAATATTGTATTGACAACTGGGGGGCTTTTTGCAGACTACTGCTACATACGCCTTTCACAGGTTCTGCAAAAAACATTTAGGGAATATTGATTCGACATTGATCTGAATTATACAGATTATTAGACGATCGTATCTTTTATGGAAATCTCTATACTTGCATGGGAAAGCGAGGCAATGATGAATCATGCAAATCTCCATTGTTTACATTTCACGTCATCTTAATGTGTATAGATATATATGTGAGAAATAAAAAAATTGGACAACGTTTGAATTAAATTGATAAAGAGATCAATTTATTTAGTATTCGGCAATGCACTGGAGGATGTGACACTTTAACAAAGGATGTGTCAGGAGATTAATGTGTCCATATAAACGAAACATGAAACATTAGGGGCTGATTAGAGTAGATTAATAGTTCCTGCCATTTTGCTCAGTCTAACAATGCACATTTCCAGGAGTAACATTGAGTTCCTTATTGCGAATGATTTGGTATAACGACCGCTGGAGTGATGCTCGCATAGAGTCACGAAATCAAACGAAATTAGAACAGACCTTTGCAAGTGCAGTGAACAGCATGATGTGACATTAAATGCCCATTTCTAAATCCTTATTACACAGGACAATTTAAAAAGAGATGACAACGAACGTAACGATATGTAGTTTTAAAGTTAAACGGGTGCACGGGGTTAATGCAGTACACGAATAAACTTTTCGTCAGTCAAAGTCAAAACTTTAAATGGGAATATTCCATTTGTAAATACCTTTAGAGTTGAAGTCAATATTTTCACGACGCGATTAAATCACAGTCAAACAAAAGCCAGGACAGTTTTCTAATTTAATCTAGGAATTACGAACTCAAAGAGAAAGTTATTATGAATATTTACTCCTATATATAAACGTCTATTGTTGACTTAAACCCCAATACAAATGTAACAGAGGCAGCACTCCAGGAAAAGCCTTCCGTAATTTCAAGAGCTTTATGTCCACATAAGTATTCGGTCGATGTTCATTTCTTGTTCAATCCATTAGCTTATTAATATTGGAACGTGCAATACAAGAACAAATACACTGAAGCATTTGGATTATTTATAAGAATATTTCAATATTTGTGTATGGAGATAATATAAAAGGAGATTATTCAGTGACATAGTTCATTAGAGCACAAACTGCAATTAGCAGGTAAGATGCACTTTCATCTATGTCGATATACCGTAATTTTCTTCCTGTTGTACAATGAACTTTTATTCTATATTACTTTTACAATCAATTTAAAAATGCGTGTCCCCTGCGCGCAGTCTAGTTATAAACAACTCGAAGACGAAGCTCTCTTTTAAGAAGTGAAGTCGAACGAATGCAAAGGGTAAAATGCGTGGGTTCTGTACTGAAAAAATCTAAGATTCAGGGTTGGTCCAATGGGATCAAATTAGTTAGTAAACATGAGCTAAGTCAAAGTTGATTATAAACTGGAGCTGTGGTAGCAAACCATCCTTTGAATTTGTATCTTTCAAACGAAATCGTTGATCAGTCTTGACTCTAATCTTGATCATGATATATTTATACAATTATATTATGAATGAAATCCATTGCAAGGCTGTATTATTCAATCGTAAAGTCTAATAAGTAGATTTATTTATCATTGAATACTAGTAGGAGAATACGATGATACCTATTAAGTTTTATACTGCATTGTCAAGATGCTATTTCAGGTATTGTTAAAGCTCTTGACAATGATACATTTCAACTATTCAAGTTCTTTGTTGTATCTATTCTTAACACCGTAAGTAAATTGATTTGAGACAATGCATGCATTCTCCAAACGCATCTCTTCCGTCCGTTCTCTCTGGGGATGATGAGTTATAAATTGTCTTAGGCAGGAGTCTGCTCTGGGAAATTTGAGCACTAACAGTTTCGATTGAATTATTGGCTTTCCGCTGGGCATAAAGATAAAAAATCAACCATGGGCCATTTATTGTCGTCGTCCCCCAAGATCGGTCCTTCACTGCTTTCATAGCTGTTAGCTGTAATGCAATGAATTACTCTTGGGCCAAGGATGATACTATAAATCAAATATTTTCATGGTGCACGCTCATTTGATTTTTAAAGACTAAATTCATAATATTTTGTTTAATGCCTTTGATCTACAGCAACCGTACGGCGGCCGTAGCTTCTCGTAGTCGAAAGAAATATGAATCATAAAATAAAGGGATAAGCTGAACGACAAAGATTTTCTATGTCAATTTTGTTAAACTACGGCTGCAAGAAATTTGATATAAAAAATGTCAAGCAACTTCTACAATTAGCTAACCGATCGATGTTCTATATATCATTTAAAATATACTAAGCAGGGATAACATCTTATAAAAGAATTTAGGATGCAGATCCATGTAAATACTGCCCATTAGTCTAAAAATGAAAATGGACGTAAAAGTTATAATGGGTAAGAATCTCTATTTTCTTACAATTGGCAATAATACAAAGGGAATCATCATGATATGGCCAAATATCGATCTACTTTTAATGTTTGGTAAGTTGTTCTGTTCTATGATTTCAACCTAAGATGCTCAGTTTCAAGCAGGTGTAATTCTGTAAGGCAGATATATTTGAAAGTGCTATCCCACATTTGCTTCATATTTCAGACAGGTAACGGCAAGCAATCAGTAGTAAATTGGACCAAAATCGCTGCCAAAAGCAAGATAAGTTTAAAATCAATAAAACAACTTGAATGTAATTTATATGAAAAGAAATGGTCTGCGTATGTTGCGGAGTTAATATAGTTCTTGTAAATCACAAACAGGTTGAATAAGTAGGTCTGATTTTGCTGCAGCTCGCATTTGGGGCAACCCTGACGGTGACTGTAGTTTCCGTAACATTCATACTTCACGATGGCGGAAATTTGCAATTTTATGTCACAATCGAGAAGCAGTGACATGTTTGTTATTGTTATGGTGACTGAAGTCGTAGGCCTTTGTAACACATTGTTAGGCTTTATAGGAAAGGAATATAGACCGAAGAGCAGGCATTATTTCGACGAATAAATACCACAGGGCTGGACACAAACGTTCTCTGTACCCCGAACGACCGAAGGAAGTGAAGGGTTCGAAAGCTTTTGTGCCTAGCCCTAAGATATTAATTAGTCTATATCCTTGATCGGAGGTCTATATTAAGATCCGAACATGAAAACTCACCAAAATTCTCAAAAATCGTCACTTCATTTCTTTCTTCCGGTTTAGCGTTTAGCACTGAACGAAACACTAAGTACAGACCAGGTAATGTATCGACGAATAAAAACCGGGTGAACTATTGAGTTGAAAAAGGCGTGAATAGTCATGTTCGAATTTGCGATACCATACGCAAGGTCCATGCTATTCTGCAGCTGGCTTATTAACTGCCGTATTGCATTTCTCTTCATTTCCATATCATCATTTATAAAGTGCTGACATCAACCGTCAAGACAATTTTGATAGTAATGTCATTTTGAAAACATAAATGCCTTTCTAAGGGATACCGAAGCCAACAATGTGTCATTAATGTTGAAGGAATGATGTTAGCCCACATGATAAAGGTTAAGTTTTCATAATGTATACGTGAACGAGTAGAATTGTGGTCCTCTGTGAAACAGTTCTCCCATTTTTTACTGTTTACTTAACCAAATGAGTATAAAGATACTATACTACTACTAGTATACGGAAAAGAATTGTAATTTGGTCCCTGAAAAAGTGAACTGAGAGCGGGAAAGTAATCACTAGGGGTCGAAATACTACACGCCCATCAGTCTACATGTACATGTTCTCTTAAAGACAAGTGACTTTAACACCCTAATATTTTCCACACGCGGCAGACTGAATTCTATTTATAAGCTGAGTTACAATAAATATACGGTACAACCAGCAGAAGTTTAATGCCCTATAATACTTTGGCATTCTTATATAACAGTACTATTGTTACATAAAGTTACACAAACAAGAACATATCAACAATTTTCAAACTCAGGCAACGTTTCCATTCATTAATATGGGGCCATGTTCTAAACTGACAACTGACAAACATACACCAGTATATATAAACCTAAAAAAGGTTCGATGCAGCTTATATTGCGTCTTCCAGAGCCAACTCCAGGGACCGAAAGGGAAAGTAATATACTTGCATGTATCTCTTTCCGTTTGAAAATTAATTTTCCACCTCATTATACGCCTTTCCGTTTTATCTAGGCAGTAAGCTACCCTGACACTGTGTTGAAACATGTTATGCAGTTGTTGGTCCGCGGCCAGTATGCGTTCACGGGAGGTTTAATAGCTTCTGACAGTGACTACATTTCATTTTATCCTTATCAAAAATGTTGACACACTTATCGAAATGGTAATTGATTCCATTAATATGGGATAAGTAAATAAAACCCATGCACCAGTGCGTAAGAAAATCCAAAATAATATTTCTAATTTGTAAAACACGCTCTGATGTTCGAAAACCATTAATTCATACTAAATCGGGAAATCACAGTTGCGCTTTGCCAAGTTTTCATTTCACTTTGATGACAACCTTTTAGGGCGATCGGCATAACGAGGGATTACCAAATGTCGTCATAGCTAATATAATCATATTGAAATAACGAAATGAAAATGTAGGAGTACTGTAAGTAAGCTTAATAGTGATAATGGAGAAGTTATTCGTTAGACAAATATGATAGGATTGTTTACAACAAAATAACTATTATTTGCGCCAGTTCTCTCCACCTTCATTGTAATGTATCACCCGTGCACTACAGGGACACCACTCGAGGGCCAAATGACGTCATAGTGTTATTATGAATACGAAGAGAGTCCTATATATCAATTAGGATATTTACTCGTCTTGTGGATAACCTGACTAGAAATTCAAATAAATCTTTGCTTTGTCTTTGAAAGGTAATCTTCATTATCGTCTGTGTATTCCAGATAACAACAAGGCTACGATAACGGGGAGTAATTACAATGTGGGGATGAGCTGAAAAAACAACCATCGAATCGAAATTGACATTATCAAAACAGTTTTCCTGTTGTTGTTCAAACTTAGCGACGAGGATATGATTTGCTTAAAACAGGAGTGACACGCATTTGGATGGTAAACAGTGACAGATTAGCAGAACTATTTTAGTGAAGCTATCCACGACATTCCCGGGAGGTGTGAATGCTCATAAGTGCTGAAACTGGATTTATAAGAGCAATCGAGACAATAAGTGGCTCAAGTGGTACAAAAAGAGCAATTGTGAAACGTGGCGATTGGGTCCTAGGTGAGTTATACAAATACATTAATTTTAATGTAAAAATCTATGTCTACATCATATATATCATTATCGCATTTTGATTTTATCAATCATAAAATCTTTTGACATTTGTCATAAAAAGAGTAAGGACATTTAATTTGTACTTATACATCTATATTTATACTCAATATTGTAGTTGAAAACGTTTTTCGCGACTGACATGCAAACGAACATTATTTTGAAGTGTATCTGGGGCAATATACATGCACCATGTGAATCATCAATTACGCCGCATGAGGACGTCACGCATATTGGTCGCTGTTACTCAAATGGATTTTTGATAATGCTTATGAAGTAAAACATAATACCTAATTTATTAAAACGCACAACGGGCAACATTGCTGGAAAGAAATCAATCCAAACTTGTATAAATTATAAATAAACACACTAAACGAACTCATATATGATAAATAAACATTGAGAGGGATTCAAATGTGAAATATGACAGGAAGATTTTCTATTGGCACAATTACTTGAACGTGTTGACTACTAAATATTCGAACGCTGGCAGAGTTGAGAGGAAGTTGCCGTAAGTGGATGCAATAGTTGAATGTCGTTATGTCAATATTAATTGACCCGTGACACATTGACGATATCTAAACTTTATTATACCTGTATAACTTATATTTAATGCAAATTCAAAATGACATCTTCAGTCATCGAGGTATTTTATAAAGAATAGACGAGGACAGTATCCCGGATGGTAAGTACTTGAGGTCCGGATGCACTAAAATCAAGTTCTTAAAGCATTCAGTGCACAGGTAATTAAAGTCCACCAGGCCCCAATGCGTACCCCGGGTGAGCTGCAGCGAGTTTTTCTCGTGCTTGACCTTGGAATGACCCAGAAGGCCTAAAGAAGGTCCAGCCTCTGACTCCAAACCAAGGATATATATGGAAAGAAGTACCAGTGAAATACCCTTGGAGCAAGGATGGATGAGTAATCCACTGTCGTTTTATAATCTGGATTCATTCATAGATGCAGCAGCCGTATATCACTTTGGTTACACAGAGAATCAGACAGCTGGATCAGCACTCGAATAAAACAATAAATGCCCCATCTAAATACCAGATAGACAACTTGTCCCAAGTACGTACTTCTGACTTTGTAGCCTAATTGGTTGGTATCGATATATATTTGAAGAAGGATCGATTTGCGGATGTATGGTACATCGTCCACTAATACATCTCTTTAATAATGGAAGACATATTAATTTGACGAGTTAGGACATGCGGAATTGATGTATGATCTTATCATGTATGAGTCTACGTTACGTTTGATTCACGAGGTTACCCTTGCGTCTAAAATTCATGGTCAGACTCTGCCTTAATTTTAGCTTCAAACTGGACAAATTATATCTTCCATTTGAATTGAATGAGAAAGCGCCATTCAACCTTATCCGACTAGTATTTAATGAAGCTTTATCACTTCTAGATTAACTCACTACGTTCATAATACACATTCCAAAGATTTATGGTTTAATAAAAAGAAATATAACAATTACAGAAGGATCGTAAAGTAGAAATAATGGTTTGTATGACTGTGATTTAGTATAATTGCAGTCATGTACGGGGGTCTGGTTTTGAGCGAAAATTCTCGAACGTCTTCAGTTTAAACCCTTCTTCCTCGCTGCGCAAAATTGAGAAAATATTCACGATCTTTAATTTGACGTTTGCAATTATCCATATCACAATAGAAACGCTTTTTATTAATATTTATCAAAAGATACAGAATTGGGTGTCTGGTTACTAAGCAGTATGTAATAGTTTTGGATTAAGAATAGCATTGTGTTTTGTTCTGTTCCTCTTCAGTATCCAGACAATTAGAAGCTGTAATAACACAAATGCAATCAACCATATAATACAACTCCTCTCATCTTGCTAATGAATTAAACAAGTTTTGTATGGGAATATTCCAAAAGGCTGTTTATTCGATAAAAATTTGCAAAATACTATTGTGATCTCATTGAAACGAAATCCAGGTTATTACGAGGTTCGATATACTAAGTCATATTCTCCGTATGAGCTCGATGGGGCATTAATTAACTGGTTTATATAATTTCAGTTATCAATCTAAATCTCTTTGTTATAAGTCATGTCCTTTGGCTTTTATGTCGAAAAGAATATTCTTACCAAAACATAGACTTACTATTAAGGAGACTCGGGAAAAGAGAGGGCAAAACATATGGTATAACGCCTAGCTAAAAAGGACGTGGTTTTCATTCACTTATTACAACAAAACATCATTTAGATATGCATGCTTTTGATTCATCGTATGGTAATTAATAGACCCAAGAACGTTTATCGTATAATTCTAATTATTCTTTTGAAATACGAGCAGGTAATTAAATAATAGATATTCAATGTTATCTTAAGGATATCTAGAATCCAATATTTCATCTTGACGTTGAGATCTGAGAATATTTAAAGGATTTTCTTATCAAATATTTGGTTGGCTGGATACGTGACGAGAAATATTCTCTCGCACGAGAACCCGGATCGACACAAAATTGGGTGTGATGATTTGTTTCCATTTTGTGATACTAGAAAAAATCACCGGCGAGGTTTAATACTATGTTTACATACACTATTTACCATTATAGGTAATGGTTGAGTGTTTAGTTCTATGCCAATAATCTATTAGCCCTAGTTTAATTAAAATTTGCGTAGTCTTTGATACGGTCGAATCTTGGTTACTACACATTAAGAGGCTCCCAAAGGGGAATCAGATCCTAATAGTTCTCTTTCGTTCAATAAGTGAATTTAACCAACTTTCTTTGCCGTATAAAAATCACAGGCCACTACACCGAGGCAAATAGAAATTCATGTAGTTATAAGGTCTGATTGAGTTCCATTGTCTACAGAGTCCACAGACCATGTGATGTCCTCCTACCCGGGACCGGTCATTTATTGCGGCGTATCTCATTAACCAGTTAATTAATAATTCATCTGAGCAAATATTATATGATATGATATGAGTGACTATCAAAGTAAAAGATATGATAAACCCTTGGGCCCCCGGTGCCTTGGGTAATGAGCTATTCTTAAAGGTGTTTCAATCATCATTCTCTGCGCTGTAAAAGATCGAAGGGAATTAACAGTCGCTTCCGTACAGGAATGCTAATTTCTCTTTCTGTGGAATACTTTATGAACAAGTTCCATTCAGACAATGCTATTAAAGATTCGAAAGGGAAATGAACAAGTTATCTCTAACCGAATGATAAGTAATTTAATGCAAAACCTATAAGATGAAATTAAGCATTGCTTTAGATGTTAGTACAATTAATGCAATTGTGGAATAGGTCACTATTCATACATTACTACAACAATGAGTCCATTGTGTTCGAAACATATATACTTTAAAGACAATTTGATCCACTGGATGGACTAACAGCAATTATTCGGTTCGATTGTTTCGAATTTCACTGTCCTCTTATACATATATAAATTGAATGGAGATGGGACGGTTCGTCTTGGTCCACAAGCTTTCAGTTGCCCCAAATTCATGTTATAGATAGGGACGGTTAATAATTAGTATTTACAAAATTGGTTCTCATCCTCCGTACCCAGGGCACATCTATTTCATCATTGGATGATCGAAAAGGATACGTTGCAGCATGGGGTTGCAGAGACTATCTTCGAGAACAGAGTTCACGACTATAGTATTGCTTATTTAAACATGATTGCAAGTTGCAACATTAAACATAGTGGCATTCAGTCCCGATTGTCCAATGGGCAACTCGTTTTTTCCAAGTCCATTGTTGTCAAGAGGAAAAGGCGGTTGCCATTGGCAGCCAGGCATCTGTATATAATTTCGCAACACTGGATGAATCTTCAGTGAGTCAGAATTTGTAATTTTTCCCAAATGCGAACCCTATATACTAATTCAATTGTTTGGTGACATGTGCGGGCTAAACTCAAATCTGTTTTCATTGGGATATAAAACTTATACTCTCAACATTTATAGAAGTATAAATCACTAATACTAGAATGACTTTACGTAAATTTATTGCTTTTGAGATATAACCGAACAAGTGCATTCTCATTTGATGCAGTAAAAAGGGCTTTATGGTCGTTTCTACTTGATTTATAAGAACATGTCAATTCAATTTTAGTTTGAAAATGATAAGATGATTTAATCTGAATCTAATTTGATTACAAGTCGATCACATTGACAAGCCAACAAAGCTATACGTCATCAGTCAAGTATATTAGAAAGTTCTCCGTACATGCTGGTCGATTATCCCTAAAGATAGTGAGACTTCAAGTTTGACGTCCTATACCTATATAGAGATAATTTTGACGTATGAATTATACAGCTAGGACAGTATACAAATTCACATTGTGATCTAACTTAGCTTTCATTAGGTGTACTTTATTTTCAGATTGTAGTTAGCGGCAATGGAGGACGAAACGCCATATAACGTAAATGCAACTATCACTGACGTCCCCGCTAATACTACAGTCCCACCCTTTTACTTAGATGGACACCGATCAGAAAACGATTTCTATGCCTTCCATAGACCTTTATTTGGATACGTGGATCGCTACGTGACGTGTATATGGTACGTCATTGGACTAAGCGGAAATACGCTTGCGTTTCTAGTTTGGATTCGAAAGCGCATGCGCCACTCAAGCGGATGCTACTTATCCGCTCTTGCATTAGCAGATCTTATCTTCCTATTGCTTCATATATGTTTCGAGCTGGAACAAACGTGGAATCTAAAAGTGATATCAGTGCCTATATACTGTGAAATTTACCCGATTCTATCAATGACTTTCCAGTACACATCCCCGTTGTTTGTCTTGGGATTTACAGTGGAGCGATATATATCAGTGTGTCATCCATTCAAACGGGAACAATACTGTACCATAAAGAAAGCAGTTGTCGTTATCGTTGCATTAATGGCGACATGTTTAGCATTAAGTGCTGTTCAAGGCTACTTTTGGCAGTACAACTATGTTAAAAAGGAATGTTATCCCAGAGCGGAGGTTGTAGCTGGGGGAACATATTCCCCGTGGTCTATATGGAGCTGGATCACGGAAATGACCATATTTGGCTTTGTGCCCATAATGGTATTATTTTTCAACATTTTGGTGATATGTGAGGCGAGAAAGATGCGTAAGCTGGAAATTACATTGGGAGCTAAGAAGAGTAAGAAATCAGCCTCCACAACGTTTATGTTACTTGTTGTATCATTTTATCTAATTATTACAACTCTTCCAGCTACAATAATGTACGTTTTGTATTTCTACTTTCCCTATGGTGATACTAATATGAACGATGAACAAATTAAGCTCGATGAGACATGGCAGAGACATTTGGATTACAAGACAATTGGACAAATTGTTTACGAGATATGCATGTCCCACTACGCTTGTAATTTCTTCATCTACGTCGCAACTGGGAAATTATTTCGTAGGGAACTGAAATTTATAATCTATCAATACATTTGTAGGAAAGACTGGCGACAGTTAAGAGGAAAGGAATTTACAGAAAGTTGTGGGTCTCCAGGAACAATGAAAACAACTGTTGATCACAATACGCGTCTGTTGAATGGCAACAACAACGCGCACACTGTGCTGTAGCAAACTGCGAACGCGTTCGTTCGTAACTTTAATGCAATTTGAATATTGATTAAAAGCATTACAAAACGTGCTTTGATTTGTAATTATATCTTTAGTCATTCCCTGTCAAAACAAATGACAAAGTGAAGTTCAGTTAACAAACCAGGAACACTGTGTTTGATGTTGGCATTTTAGTTGAGGTTGTATTGAAGAGGCGTAGAGCGCTATCTTTTATTGTCATGATTAGTTATAATTATATTATACATTAATAATAGTTGAATAAAAAAGACGCAGCAACACATCGTGTAAATTATTTGACATTAGTTTTTAAATTTATTAAATCGTGAAAGACAATTAAAAAGTAACACGTAATTAAATAAATAAGTCATAATTTAAAGCGAATGTTTGTTAGACACCGGAGAAGTTAGATAAAATCAACCTTCATATAACTATTAGTTTAAATGTTAAAGTATATTTAAGCCCATCTTTCAGGCGTTGTCTATTTTCCAACAGATCCTTAAGTTCATATACTTGGGAGAGTATATATAATTATTTGCAGTTTGATTCTTGATTTGATATTGGGGATATTTGGAGATTTATATTTGGGATGGTCACTCCATACACGAGGGGTGATCAAGAATTTCTGGACCATTGGCTCTCTGATATTAGAGTATGAGGTGACAGTCTGGAATTAAAGATCAAATAGAATGTTCCACAATGATGCGATGTACCTCTTGTGATTAAGAAACACCAAAAATGGCCATAGACATTTTTATATTTTCTGTTTATTCCATTTAAATATAACATTTACAAAACAGTAATATTGCAATAGGCCAAGAACATTTAGATATAGTTGTGCCCAACAGTTTTATTTTAGCAACGAATTAATGGAAAACGAAAACACAATTAGGATCAGGCTAATTGATTACATATTACATATTATTTGCGTTTTTTCGGGAACGTTTATTTTTGATCCCAACTATTTGCATCAGTCCATAGACCAATATTACTAATGCAATATAGATAATATTAAAGTACAGTAATGAACCATGCCCATGATACTGAAGTAGTTATCCAGTAATCCAGTTCCATAACATAGCGCCAAGGCCAGCACCACCCTGCGACAAAGCGAGTACCATGGCGGTGACGTCCATATATTGGTTGTAGATAGAGATTCCACCGGGAAATAAAGGCGCGACGAAGAAGCCAAATGCGCAGGAAGCTACCCAAAGTACAAGAACACTATGTGGAAAACTAAAAAGAACTATACTGCAAGCTAATAGAGCAAATAGTTCCCCAGTAACCATGATGTTTGGGGGACACCATTTTGAAATCAGGGTCGCCACACCTCGACCAATCAGAAAGCACAGCCAAAATGCAGAATGGAGATCACTCGAATCTGCACTGGTGAATCCAAGGTTACTCTCTTTAGAATAGGAATATAAGTACTGGCCCCAAGATCTCTCACCAGCCACGATTAGAAAATGGTAGGTGAACACTAATATTGACATCTGGATACCGAATGCTGTTTCTCCACGACCGCATGAAGAAGGCGACAATGCCTGCTTTATTCTATGCATTGCTTTGTCACTTCTTTCATGTCCAATCTGATCCTCTCTGGTCGTGTTATTTTCTTTATCACTCGTATCTTTCTGATCCATCTCTATTTCTCTTGTTTTATTGTTCATGAACTCGTTTCTTTCTTGAAAGTATAACATTAGGCACAATAATGAATATACAAAAGTCACACATGCCATGATAGAGTACGGGTACAAGGGATGTCCTTCAGTCGTGAAAGTAAACGTGTAATTGCCATCATCACCATCACTTGAATTCGTTGTCTCGATTCTACTGTTATTCCTTGTTTCATTCCGCCAAGTGAACGTCTCTGACACGAACGGTTTCGTCAACTGGGGTGCCAAGAAAGCGCCAAGTCCCCAACCGAAGTGAAACGAATGGACCGGAGCGTCAGAATCGGCTCCCCATAGCCATACTATCCATGCATTACCACCTAGAAGGTTGTTATTGGCAGTAAAGTAATATAGTAGTAAATCAAACTAGACCTAGACAAAATAATGTAACATTACAACCTTACAAAGTCTTTATTGTTATTTACTATTCATCTCATAACGTGGACGAATACGGCGCAGACTTTGATCAGTATCGGACTTTTGAATAGAATAGAATAGTTTTTTGGGACGGGAAGTCCAAAATGGCTGCCTTAACATTTACAAAAACTAATCAGTTATAGAGTGTCATACCGAGAAACATCCCCAAAATTTTCAAAGCCTCGACAGACACGATTTTACGACAGAAAATGGCCTAAAAACTAATCACTTCTAAAGTTTCATGCGTAAAACATTACTTAAAATTTCAGATGAATGCGTGAAACAATTTGGCTGGAAACCTGTAGACAAGACTAGACAGACAAAATTATTATAAAATTCCACATGTAGAAACATCCCTGAACATTTTAAATGAATCCATGAAACGGTTTGGCAGGGGACCTGTAGACAAGCCACGACAGACAAGATTTTATGCCTTAACATCCACCAAGAATGCCCTAAAACCAATCAGTTTTAAATGGAATACATAGAAACATTCCCGAAAATTGCAAATAAATCCCTTAAACGGTTTGGCTGGAAACCTGTAGAAAATAAAGTCTCGACAGACAGGAATTTAGGACGGAAAATCCAAAATGGCTACCTTAACATTTACCCAGAATACTTAAAAACTAATTAATTCTAAACTTTCATACGTAAAAACAGCCCTGAAAATATCAGAAGAATCCCACAAATGGTTTGGCTGGAAACCCTTCTCACAATATATAATTTAAATGTTACAGACATGGTGTCAGACCTGGGATAAAATCAAAGGAAAAATTTACCAGTTGTAACTTTTCTTACCTGATGTGAATGGTCCAGCACCTGTACCTTGTAAGAAGAACATGATCCCCAATAACCAAAGAACGCGGCACCACGGTGTGAACACCAGGCCAATAACAGCTACTAACTGAGCAATGAAAAGGATCAAGCCGACGTATCGACGGTAGCTATCAGAGAGAAGTCCGCCCATAAGAGTACTAAGTAGGAAGGGAGGGCTCCTAGCAGACACTACTCGTGCTATTTCTTCATAGTCCGCGTTCACCATGATCTTAAGGTCGGGGAGAAGAGGACCTATCATACTGCAGTATATACCCTATAAAAATATCAGGGGTACCATATCAGGTACAGGATATCTTTTTAAGTTATTGATACCCATGGGATACCATATTGTCATTTACAGTATAACATAAGTAGAGAAAAACAGTTATCAGAGAGATTTCGCTCATAAGTAAAAGCGTATTTATATAAGTGAATTAAAATTTTGTTTCTCAAAAAGACGTACTTATCGATCTATTCTGATATACAGGGTGACACAAAAGTGCCAACCACTATGATTTTGGAATAAATTTCTAAATAATGATTTTTGTGTCGATATAGTGCTAAATGCATCAACGATTGTACTTGTTCAGAAAGTTATTCCAAAATAAGCGAGTGGCATTTTTTGTATCATCCTGTACTTTTCATAAATGATGACGTAATACACAAATTTTAAAAGTTATAAAGACAAAGGATTTATAAACAAGTTATTTATGCGTTCAAGTTTTAGAAAGAGCATTATTATTACAATTGAATATGATATTGGACTGATCAAACTTATTGCAACTGCACAAACACATAACTATACTTACCATAACAGCAGAACCAAAGAACAATACAATCGTTTTAAAAATCTTCCAGAATGTTGTCATGTTTATTTCCGTTGACCCCATCTTGGAATAGGTTATGTGTTTTTTAGTTGCCTCTCCTGTCTCTTTTTGTCGTAACATGATGCTGGTGATTGATTGTCTTCTCTTAGTTAGAATATCAAAGACATTTACAAGCGACAGACAATAGTTTTCAAATACTAGTTCAAGACAGTCGTAATGTTGACCTAATTGTACAGCTTTTTAAACATGCATGTTCACAACATGCTCTGATAAGATCATGTATTGTCGGTATATTAGTAGTCCATGGTATGAAATCTCTAGGACGTCTAATAAAGGAGCTGGTAGCACACTATAGTGCAGCGATATTTGACCTTACATTAACATTCCTACATATGTTCCCTAATAATTTTTATTATAACCGCTCAATATACTTCCGGCTTTTAGACTGAATTATGCCTGCCATTATCAGAGGACAAAAAATCACCAAAAAATGAAATCCCAATTGTTCACAATTTGGAGTACACAATGCAACAGAAAATAATACAAAATGATTTAAATATATGATATTTAGGTTTCTAAGCTATAAGTTTGAGGTCATTTTTCTTATCAATACCAAAAATATGTAATAAGATAAGATAAATGCTACAAATGAATCACTTTTATATTGGAACGACAAATGCTTAAATTATGCTAGTTTTTCACAAAATGGGTCTCAATACGTTTTGAGATATAAACTTTTATTCAGCGGTGAAAATTATCAAGAAAGGAGGGCCTATTGCTCTTCCTTGACTAATTGGGACTACAGCTAAAATTCTATTTTCCCTAGTTAGATATAGCCCAGTTGCTTAATATAAAACAACCATCAAGACTTGATCGAATTCATGAATAATTGAGAAAAATCGTTATCATTATCTTCCTAAAATTTGATTGTATCCAGCGGTAAGGTCAAAGAAGAAACAGCCGTCAGAAAACTTGATGATAGCCACAAGTAACGTCGAGGAAGAATTGTAAGGCGTTCGATTGCATATGACTCCAATTGATTATTAGATATGCACTTGGAATATGTGAACATTCCAATACCTCTGTAACATTTAATTAGATATAAATCTTACATATTTTTTATTGTATTATGATTTAAACCTCTTGCGATGATATGGAAAAATTCTGGTAATAAGATGTTTTAAATGGTAAGAAAACTAGTATGTTCCCAATCATAAATTACCTAAATAGTCCACACACTTTTGTTGAATCGGCTTGGCTCATATTTGAAATATCAAACAAAATCTGAAAAACACACTTGCATAATAACACTAATTAAACACCGACATCTGGTATTTTAAAAGAATGAAGACATGTACACCTTCATAAATTTTGCTTCAAATGTTGCTGCGCTATAGTGTGCTACTTATCCTTCATATTCGGAAGTCATAACATGGACTAGTATGCAGGGCATTTACTTATCACTGGTTTCAATAATCGTGTCAACCAAAATACTGTCTGGGCCCAGGAATACGTTATAAATCGTCTAAAAGTGCCCTCGTGTACCTGTTACCCAGGTAGTGTATAGAAAGTCAATGTGTATGCACATGAATAAGGACGACAAATATGGACGAATGAATGATATAACAAATATGAAATATTTAAAACATTTTACTACTGCAATGTTGTTGCGAACCCTCTGAAATTGCCAAGAAACTGTTTGATGACATTCCTGTGAAACTATAAAAATGTCGGTCTCTATCTGTGTCCGATTTCCCACATCGCGAACCACAGTTTGTCGTTCTCGATGTGAGATTAAGACAAACAGTCAGATGCATGACAGAAATACTAGATTTAAATTTGACTTGGTCGCAAATAAATATAATTCAGAAATAGCTAGTAATCAATCATGCGTCAAGACCAGACTCTTTGGAATAATCTTCCTGCTGCCATTACAGAGTGTTTGTACCAAAGAAGCGTGACAGTCGAAGGTAAGTATAACAAACACGAGGGTAATAAAATTTGAACAAACTGATGTTTTCTTCGTTTCAGAAAGATCTGGTCTAGTTTCTCGATATTTTTAGATGTAAATGTCTATAATAACATCCAAGACAGTGAACTTGAAAGTTAATTTCATAGTTTTACCAACAAAAACTCCGAATGTAGGATACAGTTAAACGCGCGGTAACGGTAAGGTAAAACACGAGGAATTTGAATTTGCGTTGTACCGTATCTCATAGGTAATGGAGGAGGGAAGGTAAGGTATTTCGGACAGTCATATGTTGGATTTTGGCTATTTTATGAGGATTTAATCAGGTGCAGATCAATGCATTACCTCCAGGAAAAGCACTCCCAGAGATAATAAAATAATTTCGACTTTGAGACAGGGAAGATGCAAACAACCCACCCACATGTTTAAACCTTTTCTTGTGTCTTGACACACAGTTAACCCCTTTTAAGGAATAAGTGATTCCTTCAGGGGTTTTAAAGCTATCCATTACGGGTGACCAAAATTAGCTGAAAGCAATTGGATTGTTTGAGTTTTCCATATGGGAAAATAACATGGGAAATATTGTTTCCATTTTATCTAAAAGGAATCACGTATTCCTTTAAAAACACAAATATTGATGTAAGAAAAATTAAAAAGCAGGGGTGGAAGGGGTTGAATTAAATCAGGAAAACATTTCAGAAAAAAACATGTGGGTGTGTAGTTTGCATGAAAACATCAGTTTGCTCAAATCATCACCCTCGTGTTGTACCTTACCCCGCGCGTTCAATTGTCATTGCACTGCCCTCTTTTCAAAACGGAAGGGTGACATGTAAAACCTTGCATATAATACTATATACACTTGTATAAGAAAATAAACCTGAATTGAATTGAATTATATAAATAATTTATGAGGCTACAAATATGGTTGATCTTTTACACATGATATGGTCGGTCTATTCCTCAAATCCTGTTTCGAGGCTATCTGTGGTAAACACCAACCGGTCGATCGGTGGTCGGTGGGGTCGGTCTTTTTCGTAAACCCATAAGAAAGTTCATCTAAGAAATCATGGAGTTTCTTAATAGCTTTGAAATCTCGCTAATTCTCGTTTTTTCGTGCGATTGTGAGATTTGCCCTTTTTACCTCCTCTTTATTTTTGATAGCATATTTGAATTCAGTGACAAATTTTCTCCAACAATAGCTTTGATTTACACAGTTATGTCGATTTAAATCATTTTCCATGACATTTTTAAAAACTTGGGCAAAATCTCCATTGGTTCAATGCTAAAATTCATGAAAACCTTGGCTTATTTGTATGACTACCAACATTTTCATGTTTAATCACAATACGTACATTGGCAGGATTATCCAATAGTTTGTCATTCGAGTTTCAGACGGATTCAACCAACACTTTTTGATAAATCATGAAATTAAGTGACTATTGCAAGTTTTTAGCATTGAAGTGAATGAAGGTCTCGAGATACACCATCAAAAAGCCTTCAGAGAACAATATGGCTACCCAAAAGTTAATTAGCTCTAGAATTCGATATCCTCTATCATCTGTGCAAAGGAGGACGAAAAGTATCGCAACAGATTTCGAACAGTCATATGTTGGATATTTTGGCTATTTTCTGAGGATTTAAACAGGTGCATATGTTAAGCAAATGTATTACCTCCAGGAAAAGCACTCATAGAGATGATAAAATAAATTCGACTTTGAGACAGGGAAGATGCAAAAAACACCCACATATTTTTTCTGAAATGTTGTCCTGCTTTTCAACCCCTTCCAGCCCTGCTTTTTCAATTGTTGTTGCATCTCCAGTACATATTGCGTTTTGACCAGTTAATCTAAGGAATAAGTAATTCCTCCAGGGGTTTTAAAGATATCCATTATGGTTGATATTAAGCTGAAAGCAATGGGTCGCATGAGTTTTCCCTATGGGAAAATAACATGGGAAATAAGGTTTTCCACTTAATCTAAAAGGAATTACTTATTCCTTATAGGGGTTAACTGTGTCTCAAAACCCAGCATATTAATTGATGCAACAATAATTGAAAAAGCATGGGTGAAAGGGGTTGAAAATCAGGACAACATTTCAGAAAAAGCACGTGTGCGGGTTGTTTGCACCTTCCCTGTCTCAAAATGAGATTTCCCACTGAACTCTGACATGTTTTCAGATAAATTAGGACCTACCCTATAAATATAGTCCCGATTCACTTCCCAAACGCCAGATGGCGCTCCAATTGGGTAGGGAAGGAGAAAATGACTTTTTATTCAGAAAACCAAATCACAAGAAAATTACTCAGAACTATATCCAAATTACAAAACAAGATGGCCACCAAAAAGTTAATCAGCTCTAGAACTTGATATCCTCTATCATGTGTGCGAATCTGTAGAAAATCCGATGAGCGGTTTTCCTGAAAAAGCAGGACGATCATGATAACGACCACCATAACGATCACGTCGTCATCATGACGAGTATATTCAACCGATGGTGTGATAAAAGAGGTGAACGCGGCACTATGAAAAATAACTAATAACGCGCATTAATTTTTTTAAATTGACAATTCTAGCAAGGAGGATTGGAAGCCAAAATACAAACTCGATATTCTGTTGCCTGGTGTGGAACAATTTGGAACAATATTTCTCTATAAAATTCATATTGGGACTAAGTATCTAGTCTATATATGTACTTTACGAGTATAAAAGTAATTTTCAACTTCTTGCCATTCTTCAACATTTGGGAAATATTGTTATCAAATAGTTCCACCAAAGGCAATAGAATATCGAGTATGAATTTTGCAATTCTAGCAAGCTTTATCGACACGCCTCTTGTAAATTAAGAAATAGCGAAAGTTGCCATAGATATTGAAATGTATTTCTGTAGCAATGTAATATAAATGGAAATTTAAAGAGTATCAGACTTAGTGGTCGGACTCGCCTGAAAATCTCCACTCGAGTGGGCCATGAAAAACCACGATTATAATCGCAATTTGACTTAGTTGAGTTACTTCCGGTTTCAGTTTCCGAAGTAGCGGCAGAATTCATCAATTTGATCAAGTCTTTCAAGTGCCTCTATACTTTTTATTGTCTAAATCGTATTGCACATCCCTATAGATCGCTAAAGTTCACCCCTAGTCCCCTATAGATAGTAAAACTTACAGAATAAATAGTGAAAACAAACTTCGTCAATCCAGAAAGTTCCAGGATGCACCGCGGTAGACAAATATTTTAAAATTCCCGGCTGTTGGATATTCCCAGAATGCATCAAACCGGAAATGAAACTTTTGCATAAAAATAACGAACGCAGAATAAAATCCGAGTATGTTTGTCTTCCGCACATGGCATTAAATAGAAAATAAGTTGTTTTCTATACAGATTATAAGCAGAACATTACAACTATAAGAATGGAAATTGCGAATAGGAGAGACGAATCGCGAGTCAAGGTAAGGTGAAAATGAGTGAATAATAATTTTTGGTAAACATTTCAAATCGCGAGTTCAAGTTTTCAACTCGATCAATTGATTTTTAGGACAAATGAGAGTAAAACTCGAGTACACGAGTCAGTCTTCCAACCACTAAATTATTCAGACTGATTGATAACATACATATTATTTGCGTTTTGTCGGGAACGTTTATTTTTTATCCCAACTATTTGCATCAGTCCATAAATCAACATCACTAATGCAATATAGATAATGTTAAAGTACAATAATGAACCATGCCCGTGGTACTGAAGTAGATACCCTGTTATCCAGTTCCATAACATAGAACCAAAGGCAGCGCCGCCCTGCGAAAGTGCTAGCACCATGGCGGTGACGTCCATATATTGGTTATAGATAGAGATTCCTCCAGGGAATAAAGGCGCGATAAAAAAGCCAAATGCGCAGGAAGCTATCCACAATACAAGAACACTTTTCGGAAAGCTAACAAGAACGATGCTACAAGCTAACAGAGCAAATAGTTCCCCAGTGACCATGATATTTGGGGGACACCATTTTGAAATCAGGGTCGCCACTCCTCGACCAATCAGAAAGCACAGCCAGAAAGCAGAATGGAGATCACTCGAATCTGCACTGGTGAATCCAAGGTTACTCTCTTTAGAATAGGAATATAAGTACTGGCCCCAAGATCTCTCACCAGCCACGATTAGAAAATGGTAAGTGAACACTAGTATCGACATCTGGATACCGAATGATGTTTCTCCCCGACCACATGAAGAAGGTGACAATGCCTGCTTAATTCTATGCATTAATTTGTCACTTCTTTCATGTACAATCTGATCCTCTCTGGTCGTGTTATTTTCTTTATCACTTGCATCTTTCTGATCCATCTCCATCTGTTTTGTTTCATTGTTCATGAACTCGTTCCTTTCTTGAAAGTAGAGCATTAAGTACAATAATGAATATACAAATGCCACACACGCCATGATAGAGTATGGATATAGGGGGTATCCTTCAGTCGTGTATGTTAACGTGTTATTGCCATCATCTTCGCTTGAATTAGTTATCTTGATTATACTGTTATTCTGTGTTTCATTCCGCCAAGTAAACGTCTCTGACACAAACGGTTTCGTCAACTGGGGTGCCAAGAAAGCGCCAAGTCCCCAACCGAAGTGAAATGAATGGACTGGGGCGTCGGAATCGGCTCCCCATAGCCAGACTATCCATGCATTACCACCTGTAGTAATATAGTATTTTAATCTACGATTCTAGAGTTTGTATTTATCTGTACATAGTATAATATGAATCGTTATCACATTATATATTTAATCTTAAATGTTACAGACATGGTGTCAGCTGTGGGATTAAATCACCGGAAAAGGTTGGGCAGAAGGCAACGTTTCCTACCTGATGTGAATGGTCCAACACCTGCACCTTGCAAGAAGAACATGATCCCCAATAACCAAAGAACGCGGCACCACGGTGTGAACACCAGGCCAATAACAGCTATTAACTGAGCAATGAAAAGGATCAAGCCGACGTATCGACGGTAGCTATCAGAGATAAGCCCGCCCATAAGAGTACTCAGTAGGAAGGGAGCGTTCATAGCAGACACTACTCGTGCTATTTCTTCATAGTCCGCGTTTACCATGATCTTAAGGTCAGGAAGGAGGGGACCTGTCATACTGTAGTATACACCCTGTAACAATATCAGGTTCAACATGATTATTTCGCCGATACCGTCGTTGGCGCATACAGTATATAGGATGTCATACCATATTTTGTTCTTTTATTCCGACACTCCAAAATATGTATACACTCGACTATGATTCAAACATAACAATAACAGTAACTCAGTTATTTTTCGACAAGCGTTATCATCACAATATGACATTATAATAACCAAACCCCAGAGATTGCGTAAACGCATTTTACTTACCAAAACAGCACATCCAAAGAACAATACAATCGTTTTAAAAATCTTCCAGAATGTTGCCATGTTTATTTCTGTTGGCCCCAACGTAGAATACGTTATGTGTTTTTTAATTGCCTCTTCTGTCTCTTTTTGTCGCAACATGATGTCGGTGATTGATTGTCTTTTCTTAGTTTGAATATCAAAGACATATACAAGTGACAGACTTGAATAGAATAGTTTTCAAGTAGTAACAGTATATCTAATAGAAAATGTTATATTGACCTTGTTCAGCCTTTTATATATGCATGTTCACAACGTCCCCTGATAAGATCATGCATTCTCATGTTGTGTGCAGGGGCATTTACTGGTTCGATGTTAATGGCCCGTGATATCAACTAGTATTGTTAAATGCAGATGTCCCGCACTTTGGATTACCAAGGTATGAAGTTATCATAATTGTAAATCTAAATGGTAAGCGAACATTGGTGTCCCAGCTTCAAAAAATATTCGACCTCTTCATCGCCATATAACCATTGTTCAGCAAAGAGAGCCGCCAAGGGCCAAAACAGAGGGCGATGATACAGGGGTATGATATGACAGTATGATGCCACCTGTTTATTTTCTTCCTCTATCAAATCATATTAATTAGTCCTCCTTGGGATAGTCATGTACATCTTTATCAGCAGTCCAAACGAAAACTTGCCCTGATAGATAACGCTTATCTCATCCGCTCTGAGCATGAAACTTTATTAACAAGATATCTACTCATTTAATTTGGGAAATATTGACCACTGTCAAACATCATTATTTACCATGAAGTTATTGTCATTGGTTGGTTTTGGGTTTCTCCTTCTGTTGAATGGGTCTCAGGCGGATCTTAATGGAAGAAATCTACCTTCTGGCACATGTGTATGTTCAACAGCAAACACTGGTCTTAATGTACGAAATAATGGTAGGTAATTCTTGACAATTTTAATTGCAATTGTCAGAAATGTATGTATTTATGCGTGAACTTTTTATGTTCATTACAACATGTTTTTTTTTTATAGAAGGTGGTATGACTGATTACAGGTACTTTGTTATAAAGGTGACATCGGAAATGAATTGATGATAAGGGCAGCACGACATGGCTATTATTCACTTCCGTGTGCAGTCTGAAAATATTATTGTATATGCAGTAAAACCTTTTTGAAGCGACAACCCATTGTATGTTGTGTTGAAATTGTACTGTACATATATTCCAATACATGTAGGTGGTCTCAAAACCAGCGTAATAGGATCTTTACCCAATGGACAGTGCGTAAAATACACTGGACGAAAACAAACGAAAGATGGTTACGTCTGGTATTCTATCGCATTCAATGGAAGAACAGGTTGGGTAGCAGGAAAGTATCTCAATCAAGCGCCAGCCAGTAGATGTGGCAAAGGTAAGAGGACGTGACTGATCATGTGAAATAAATGATCGAGTGTAGCGAGCGTCATCAACTTAGTAATACACCCTACTTATTTTACCATTTATTATCAATCTAGATCTCACACTAGATTTATTTATGCCTGCCATCTTTTACTGTCTTAAAAACCAAGATTACAGATATAAAGTATAGGAAAATATTTAAGCCATGCATTTGTAGGGGCGATCGGTCATACGTATAGGTTGGCGTTTCAATTTTATACATGTTTGGTTTATTTAGGCCTGTCACATTTTACTGTTTCCAAAACCAGATAACAGATAAACTATAGAAGGTAAAGCAATGAAAGAATTAACCAAGATTTTGGATGCTGGAACATTACATTCATTGTGTATCTTGTATAATAGTTAAATGCAATATATAATGGTAAAGTAAGAACAATGCTGTCAATACGCAAGAAAAAATAGCATTAAAAATTCAACTACTCGACGTATTCTTTAACATCTAAAACTATTTGCGTGTACCGAATATAAGTTCAAAACGCAATAAATGTCAATTAGAAATCCAGAATACATAAAACCATTCCCATGTACGTATATAGTATGTACTGCATGTACATACAGTGCTATGGAACTGTTCTAGATTGCATTAGTTAACAGTTACGTATATTGTTCGGTTGATATATGTTCCATCGTTCGAACAAAGGCCTCAAGAACTCGTACTCCCAGAAGGAACCATCCTCCTAAGCAGGTGTCCAGAATCCGTACCTCCTTCTTCCCGGGTAGAAAGAAAAAAGGTATTGTGGATTTTGGAGCCCTGCGTACGAAGGATGAGAAGGAACATAATATATGATATCTCGAGCCCTGCGTTTGGACGATGTATACATTCCTGCATCATTGAATCATGAACGTGATGATCTTACTTCAGGTGGAGGTGGAAGCGTCGGTGGTGGCGGGCGAGGATGCGCTGCGATTGTGTCAAGAGCAGGTTGGGGAGCACGGGCAGCGAGAGCTAGATCAGTTATGCGAACTCCAGTCAAAATGGTATTCATCCATCACACAGCAGGAGCATTCTGTAACTCAAAGGATAGTTGTTTACGCCAGGTGAAGGGGACTCAGAATTATCACATGAACAATAGAGGTAAAGGTATCATGTTTGAGATTATTTGAACATTGATGAATACGAGAGTTGATCAAAAAGATCAATACCATTTGTTAAATAGTTAGGATGGAAGTTCATGTTTAATTGGCAAAACTATATGTATCGTGTTGGCCATTAAACCTACCTACACATTAACCATGGCAATACTGTCTCATATTATGTTCTATCTGAATGACTAGATGAGAACATAATCATTTTTTAGGTTACTCCGACATTGGCTACAGCTTCCTGGTTGGTGAAGATGGCAATGCATACGAAGGTCGTGGGTTCAGCACCCAAGGCGCACACACAAGAGGGTATAACTCACAGGCCATTGCGATCTCATTCATAGGTAACTTCGAAAATAGGAACGCCAACGCAGCTGCCCAGCGAGCTGCAAATGACGTCATTGCATGTGGAATCTCCAGAGTAAGTAGAATTTGAGGGAGCATGCGCAGACGAAGACCCACATGCTTTACCATTCAAAATTAAAGCTAATCTGTACCGGCGTCCAGTATGGCTATATTAGCAATATTAAAACCATTGCTTTCCACCTCATTATCAAAGCAGAGGTTAACATGTTAACCAGATTTGATGTTTTTATTTGCATGGTTAAACTATGTGGAGGAAATAAAGACACTGAACTGGACTGAACTGAACATGTATTTAATCAAACTCTCTTTTCCAAAAGTTCATCTGACACGCATTGTTTCGTATCTTTAGCATTCTATACTTTCAGGGTTACATAAGCCCGAATTACGAACTTTTCGGTCACCGAGATGGTGGTTGCACGGCGTGTCCAGGAAAATATCTGTACTCGACCATAAAGAGCTGGCCAAGGTTCAGTGGAAGGGGATTGAAGAAATATTGCTGAATAATTATTATATAAATGATTTAATATTAGGAGAATAAAACACACTCCTTTTCACTCGTGCTAACCGACATATTAAAATTTCGACAGTCTATTGAGCATCACATTTCCATAGATACTGAGTTCAAACCGAAAGAAGACTAATGATAAATCGTTCAGATATTTCTCCAGGCCGATGAGTCATACTCATATTGCATTCAAAATAAAAACTTTATTGGGCCGGAGAAAATAATTTTTATATTTTTTATGAAAATATTTGGTATTGGTTACAAGACATAAGATGCATATATGATATCTGGGCTGGGGAGGTTTTGCTCTTGACCGTACACAATAAATTTGGTTTGACTCCACGTCTATTGTTTATCCTATCGCGATTCATTACCTGCCGCAATCAACCTCACTGTTATCATATCAACCCAGGATAGTTTTCCATCAAAGGAGTGGTATCGATATGGCGAACTGATTTAAACAATGTTTTTCTCTTAAACCGATCATTGAAAACATTCTGTAAAAAACACGATATTTTATGTAATGTTGACTGATTGACAACAATTCAATGCGAAAATTATTTTGAAATATTTCATATAACTGTTATTGTTAAAAATTTTTGATTTTTTAGTGCAATTGTTTTTGCTCCTTTCTACCAATTCTTTAGAATGAAATAAAATGTCTTTCCGAACCTTGTTGGAACAAAATAGCATATACAACATGTTTTTAGACCTCTCAATATTATAGTTATACAAAGGAATGTTTGGTTGATTTTAAAAAAGTATTCAAAAAATTAAAACAAAATCCCCCAAAATAGATAAAAATCAAGATGAACCTTTTATTTTATTAACAAGATACTTTTTTAAAATCAACCAAAATTTATTTTGTACAATTACACTATTGAGAGACCTAAACATGTTGTGTGTATGTCGTACGTTTGTGTCAATGAGGTTCGGAAAGATGTTTCATTTCACTCTGGAAACATGATACCAAGAACAAAACAAGTGTTTGATGTGTTTTCTAAAAACACTATAGATGAAAGTATATTTTTGTTCAAATAATATTGTTACCATTCAAAAGATGACCATTAAAATTGACTATGTGTTAAATTTTTAGATTTTTTTGTGTTCAAAAAGTTCTCCATATCGATACCCATCATTTGCTCTGAGTACAACTAGGTGGATATTCTTCAAAATTGTCATGGTTACCAAAGCCCTATAGTTACCATGGCAACCGTAAAAATTTGAGTATAAATGAGAGCAAAAAACACCTAGACTAACCATAATGACAAATATGTCTAGACATGCACATTCTCTTAAACTTTGATATCAACTAGAACAACAAATTAAAAATGTCAAAATGAGCGAGGCAAGGTTTACCACTGGATTTTTTACTTGGCGTTATCAAAGAGAAACTACGAAAAGGGACAAATTTTCACTACAGAATCACCAATTATCGCCCAAATGTCAATATTTGGTCAAGTTTACCATGTTAAACGTAGAATTACAGACTGATAAATCTGCTTTTCAGACAATGTTTGATATTGAATATTACACCTTGAATAAATTATTGTTCTTGGTCATAATTGTCCCTGATGATATTACCATACACAAGACCCTGTAAACCCTAATATATAAGTGTTAAGAACCCAGCTGGATTGAAGTTCATGGCAAATAAATAAAGAGGAAGATGTAAATATTTTGCTGCAGGTAAACACGACATAAATTATTTCGTATAGTACTTTTACTATGTTGTAGCGAAAACATCACGATCTCAATTAAAAGTCAAAGTAACTTGCTTATTCAGCTTAGCAGTATTCAAAGAAAATCATTAATGGCTAAAACAGATTCACATTTGATTATGTTTTTGATGTTATTCTATGTAGTTGGTGGAGTTTCTATTTGATCTCACCTCACTACAACATAAATCATTCAATCTCTTATGATTATATACAAAGGTTTTACGTTTTATCCTGAAGGATAGAAACAATTGCTTCAACGTACTCGTTGTTACGCGGTAAACACGATACAAAAATATGCCATATTCCGCAACGAATATGGCATATTCACTTGTGGTGTATGACAGATTCTCCTGCGGTATATGGCATACCGTTAACCAATGAGAACGTGATACGGAAGTACGCAATTGTCAATTGCATTGATTGAATGAACAAGTAAAACTTTATAAACTATTATAATGATTACTGAATCAACAGTACAGTTTATCGAATATATCAACGTATGCAGAAGTATCACTCACCAATCTCACGTAATAAACTTACCCAATCAATTCAGGATTCATATATTAGTACTCGACGCACTAACAATATTGGTAATCCAGCGTAGTTTTACATTTAGAGTCGATTCTCGCAACCAATCAAACCAAGTCTTTCTGTATCACGTTTTCACCTGCGGAAAATGTCATATTCACCTGCTGTATATGGCATATTCCGCAAGTGAGTATGACATATTCTGCAGGTGAGTATCAGGTATTCACTGAAATAAATGTATTGCATATTCACTGCTGAATATCGCATACTCACCTGCGGAATATGCCATATACTGCAGGTGAGTATGGCATATTCACCCGTATCACAAATACCGCGCAACTTTAAATGTATTTCATATTCCGCGTAACACTCGTAACTGTTCCAAGTAAATTCAAAACTAAGCCTAAGGACATGAAGGATGCGGTATTCATCTATAATAAGAATTTTAAGAAAGCTATTTTGATTTTGAGAACCACTCTTTGATATGTAAATTAATGACTTTTTCCAGAAATTGTCATCCGTTTTGAGGTGAAGGTCATCTAGTTAACCAATTGGCAATTGCTACATATAAACTGCCCAACACTATAGCATCCAGGGGTGTTTTCCAAATAAGGAAATAGCATCCAGGGGTGTTTTCCAAATATGGAAATGCCTCTTTCGAAAAACGTGATCACGTCATATTTTATACTAAACAACGGGCATCTAATTCTAGCACGCTTGAATAATACTCTTATTCGAAATAATTCAAATATTAGGTACCAAGAGATCGTACGCATTGTTTCCCCATGAACGTGATGAAGGAAGACTGTGCCTTAGTAGCCTTGTGTTTCATATTATCCATGTATTACATACAAGTGGATGCCTGCTTCGGTGGAGGATCAAGCGGATCAGGTGGATCAAAAGGTAAATTCATTTTTTTTGGTAGAGAGTTGATTAAATGTAAATACATAAGACGTAGACATATATACGACATATACATTAGAGATATTTTCGCAACTCACTTATAGCATAACGCAGACGGGGGATTAACCCCAGATTTCAAAGATGACCTACAATTATAAGGTAATGGAATATAGTTCCTGAAAATACTCTGCAGCATTAAAATGAACATGTTTTACTAATAATGGAACATTGTGACATGTACTGGTTGACCAGATTCAGGCGCCAATTTCTAAGAAATTTGAATAGATGGCGTGAACAGCAGGTCAGAATTGATCTTGAACATGGTATACGTGGTTGATCTTCTGAAATATTGGATTGAGAAATATATATTATATAAGTCAAATTCGTACGATGGGCCATTGGATTAACATTGTCTGTTCTATATGTGGACTTCCCATTAATGTAAACCTGTATTGAGATGACACACGTCTCTGATTGGTCAAAATCGACAGACAAAATGGCACCATCAAAATTTTCGAAATACGTCCGAATTATTCTTAAAAGATCTCCATTCTGTGAGAAACAAAGTTGCACTGGAAATATCATAATAAACCGATTTATCATTCTTTTATGGGCAGTTCCTATTTTAAGTGTAGTCATCGGACGTATAATGTGAAATAACGTGATCAACCCGACTATACATTAGTATAAACCTGCATCACTGATTCATGAAAGCGATTGTCTTACTGGATGTTTTTTATACTTCAGGTGGAGGTGGAAGCGTCGGTGGTGGCGGGCGAGGATGCGCTGCGATTGTTTCAAGAGCAGGTTGGGGAGCACGGGCAGCGAGAGCCAGATCAGTTATGCGAACTCCAGTCAAAATGGTATTCATCCATCACACAGCGGGAACATTCTGTAACACGAGGGATAGTTGTATAAGTCAGGCGAAGGGGATTCAGATTTTTCACATGAACAGTAGAGGTAGGCTACTTTTGATAGATTAATGTCAAAATGAATACGAGAATTGGTGCAAATTTAGTTCTAAAACCGTTTAATGCGAACAAACGACATTGCAATCGTTTTATAAACGGGACATTGAGTATTAGAATCATACTAAAATAATATTATGGTAAAACCACTCTGATTGGCTGTATGAATATAACAAGATCTGTGAAGACCGATTTTATTCTTAGGATGGTCTGATATTGGCTACAGCTTCCTGGTTGGTGAGGATGGTAATGCATACGAAGGTCGTGGGTTCAGCACCCAAGGTGCACACACAAGAGGCTATAACTCACAAGCCATCGCGATCTCATTCATAGGCAACTTCGAAAATAGGTGCCCCAACGCCGTTGCCGATAGAGCTGCAAAGGACGTCATTGCATGTGGAATCTCCAGAGTAAGTGAACGCTCATGAATTACACACAATAACTTAGGCTAGGTTTAAAACATCAACTTCTGACTTCTTATTTCGATCACACAATATTTTTCACATACACATTGTTCATGACCTTCATATCAACATCGACAATGGGAAGAATGTGGGTTCCATATTTCTCGATCTCACTTCGGCTTTCGACCTAGTTCCACACAGCCTACACATAAAAACTGAAAGTCTATCGTAATAATAATTTTATCTCCTTAGTGACATCTTATTTTTCAAGCAGGACAATACAAGTAAGAGTTCACAACAGTTTATCCAAATGGTCAAAAGATGCTGAATTTGAATCTACCTCGAATGGTAATCATAATTTGACCCTAAATACCAGTGTTCTTCAGGGGTCTGTTTTGGGACCTCCATTATTTCTAATTTATATCGATGATTTACCCGACAACCTTCACTCAAAAACTTATATTTTTTGCTGACGACACTTCACTGCACGACGCGTATGATAAAAATGAAGTGTTCATATACATTAATCAGGCATTGCAAGATGACCGTGAGACTTTGCATTACCTGGCATCATTCTTGAAAGTGAAATTTAAAGCTCAAAAGAGTGCTGGCAAACCCTTCTCTGGGCAACGTATCCAGAATATCAGCGAAGTTCCCCTAACCTTGGGTGTGAAGTAATACCCATTTGCACAACTCATAAACATCTTGAACTAGTTTTGAATTGTAAACTAAATTCCAATGCCCATATATATCCATTAATAGTTAAAATGACCACCCTAATCAGACCATTAAAAGCTCTTTGTAGAAAATTACCAGATACGCACCTCGAGAAATCTATAATGCCTATTTTTTTATCACACTTCGACAACTGTGACATAATTCATAATAAGGCCTCTTTAGCAAAATTACAAGCTCTCGATAGACTGCATTATAGAGGAGCATGCCTGGTATCTGGTGCTATTCATGGATCCAGTACAGACAAGGTACACTACTTGCCTCTATCAATTTAAAAACTTCTAGAAGAGGTAACTGTTTTTCACCTTTTATTTGTGATCTAGTTCATTCTTATGAAATCACTCATACCAGAGGCCTGAGACTTCAGCTTGATTATAATGTCAAACCAGCTGAGTGCATCAAGTGGTTAATATATTCTTTTTTAATTCTATGAATGTTTAGAATAGACTTCCAACTTCAACTAGAGTTTGGCAACCAATTTCAAGGTTTCAAAGGTCAGTGAGTGAGCCTCGTCTCTGTTTCAACTACGAAGATGACTAGATGTATACCAAGGCAAATAAAAATCAAATTCAATAGACTCATAATTTTGTGTCGGTAACAGATCCCAAATGTCAATGTGGGTCCAAATTCCAAACTGCAGAACAATTTTTAACCAAGTGCCCACGGCTACTTAATGAACAAAAAGTTCTTCTTACAGGACTATCAGTCTTGAACTGGTTGCGCGAGTTCGAACCTAATTCAATTCAAAGGAAACAGATTTTGTTTTGAATGGAGATGAAAGTTTAAGTATTGAAACAAATGAAAAATTGATTGAAATCACTGTTCACTATACTTTTCAAGCTATCCAATGAAAAATATTTAGCATTTGATTTTGATACCATAACTAGTGGGTGAGGGAGCAAGCAAAGTACACGGCAATAACAAATTCTTTCCGAATATTTTATGTATTTCTAATATCAATTTTTACTTGTTTTGTTTCGATTGCTGATAATGTTGCCGACAACATTTAGCCTCTACCTTTATAGGGTTACATAAGTCCGACTTACGAACTCTTTGGTCACCGAGATGCTGGTTGCACGACATGTCCAGGAAGATGCCTGTATTCAAGCATACAGAGTTGGCAAAGATTCAGTAGGAGGAGTTTGAAGAAGAATTGCTGAATGCCTTAAAAATGAATGACATTAGTGAAACAATTTATCCACACTAAGAGATTAACCAGCAGGTCACTGTTCAGAATCAAAATGGTTGATTACGAACATTAGCGTCGACTTCGACATTTTATTTTTCTTTGAATTAAACTAGTTGAGCTTTGTCATGGACATTTGCCTTTTCTCACGTCCATGCCACACTTGCTTGACTTTAAAACTGTAATCTGATAAATACTTCATATAATATGTGTGAACGTAACGATCAAACGATATACTCTGCCGCTTAGGAGAAAGGAATTCACTCCACCGTACCCTTAGAGGTGCAATATATGTTTAGGGTGCGGTGTCCACACGTGATATAGTTAATTGTAACACAATTGAACGTTTGGTGTGATCGAAATATATTTTAAAGCCGAATCTTCATGGCAACCTGGTCTAGTTATATGAAAAAAATAGAAATCGACACTTTGAAAGAGTTGGAACTGTCATTCATTCTCATGACACCGACCAGCGCATATGTTCAAACAGATCAAACTATTTTACTTCTTGAAACTCAAGTTTGTATATACGTGAAAGTCATATCATATAATGAATTTTTTGACTATGATACCATGCTAAATATTATATTTATATAGTTTACAATATGCAAATATACAAACCAAGACAATACAACTGTATGAATTCATTTAAGATACATGTAGCTTTCAAAGCAATGACTAAATTTATAAAAAATGAAACAGGAATTTTCTTTACTTGTATATATTTATCGAAGTCGTTGACAACAATTTACATTAATTATCTAAGGACACGTGTCATAAAGTCATGATATTGTTCAAATAATGTTAATGAGTACTGAATCAGCAAACGTCAAATATGAACAGTAAACATATTATCAAAATATATGAATGATTGCTGAATGATTGCCCTGAATTTGTATTTCTTGAAAAGATACTATGAGTGTTGACATATATACGTTCGCTATTTAAGATACGTTATCTTAACTTACACGTGCTAACGAGTGTCATCTTGAAAAAACAAGTGATAACATCGATCATCGAATACATTGTAAAATTTCCTCTCGATAAAGCAAAAACAAAACCGTTGTTTACAAATTTAGATTACGTGACGTTCTGTTTAAACGGATGTGTACCTGAAGTAAAATAAATCTTAGATATAATTTGGTAGCAAAGGAAGTATTCTTTGAAATCTGATATTGATGATATTATGGGGGTATTTTGCATGAGAGTCTTTGCACCAAATGACTGTTACTTATGTCAAGCACCATCAGACATGTCAAATGCTTTCAAAAAGTCGCTGTTCAGCCTTGACTAGTAACGAGCTGATTGGAACAGATCAACTAGCTGCATACACAGGTACGCATAATGTATATCTTCTTTTATATTTCGTATTATATGTAATTTCATCGTAATTAATATTTACTTAAAATATGCATGGTGCATAATTCCGTTCTTCCTGATTTGATTTTTATTTGTGTAAAGAAACATATATATCAGGCTGGCGTTTTAAACATGACACAGTTGCTTGTATAGTTGTTATGGAACAAGTACTTTGCAGGTTGGTTGTTCTTTTGTAAAGTCTTATCATCTGTCAAACTATATGCAAAAAATGAACATATTAACTCTTTAGCAGGCAATAGGGCTCATTTCACCCCCTGTTATTTTAGACTAGCCCGAGCCAAAGATCGGATACTTTTTTGGTATTGTAACGGCCCTTGGGCACGTCCGTCGAGGAGCTGTAGTGTACCGAGCCAGATACTAGACTCGAAGGAGAGCGTGCAGTACCTTCCGCTCTCGAGTCAGACGCTCTACCCCCGAGCCATAAAAGCTAGCCACTATCTGTGACTGTATTAGCGACTTGCTATTGAAGGTCATTAAAGTTTAAAAACCAAGTAGATTTGGGGAGGGGAGGGCCGTTCCTAGATATGATGGACCATACGCGAGGAGACAATTTAAACTGATTCTTGCAAATATTAAGAAAACCTTAAAAACAGTGACAAAGTTGATAAACTTTCCATATCTCAGAAAATCCTAAAATGCGCGGCCCTTTGGTAGTATGATCGATCCGACTTTGATATATCTTTTATTGAAAAGCATTTCAATCGTACAATTCATTCCTTTAATGGTTTACGATTGTTGTAACAGTGTAAGCGGGAGGAGGCGGGATAAGACCCCTTTGTCCATCGTAATATGAAAAATGGGTTACCTGTTTTGGAGTAAACATTTGATTTAGTTAACGGTGGTTAAACATTTCAAACGTCGTTTTGAATCTCATTTAATGCTATCCAAATGAAAGAGATTTCACCTTATGTCTACATGGCCATGTTCGGCAGGTAAAGGTCACCACCCATAAGTGAATATATATTTCGTGGGAAGAACAAGACAATTATTGTTTGAACTATTGTTACTTGTAAATGTGCATGTATAAGATTAACTTTTAAATAATTTGAAACCGTCCTTATCTTAAAAGGCAAACAACGGTTATTAACCAGTTCTTGAAAACAATTGTCCTTGTTCTATTTTATTTATAATAGTATTATGTTGTCTTCAAATGAAATGGGTCCAAATAAAAACTGGGACTATGATTATTTTAGAATTGGAAAGTTCTTTCCTGCTCCAAAACTAAATCTTGTATAGGCCAAGTAAGTCCCATTGTAACGGAAGCACCAGAATAATTAATTTAATTCAAGTCTCGTCACTGAATGGGTTGGTGTGTCTTTGTTTCAGACAAGATTCAACCATGCCTGAAAAGAACGGAAAGGCCAAGGACGAATTTTATGAAGGTGGGAAATATGAACCAACAGAAAACAAGCCTATGCTTGACGATGAGGACGATGTTAGTATTAATCGGGCCGACTATACATGTGGGCTTGGACCTTTAAAACCAAAAGGACTCCAGAGATTCGCTAATATAAAATTATACCTTGTTTTCTTTAATGTTATGGCAGTTCTTGTTGGCGTCGAGATTATGTTCAGATTTGCTGATCTCACAACATTAGAAAAACGTTTTGGGTTCAAGACTACTCAATCAGGAATCATCATTAGTAGTTTTGAAATGGGCCATGTATTCCTTGTGATCATGTTCAGCTACTTTGGGGGTTCAAGTCATAAGCCAAAAATGCTCTTCATGGGTGGAGTCATCCTGGCCGTCTCTGCCTTTGTGTGGGCATTGCCTCATTTCTTGTTTGGCTCAGGGCGCGATGAAAATATTCTAGGAGAGATGGCAGAATCCAATAACACTAACATTGACTCAGGTCTCTGTGAAGATGGTGCAGAATGGAGATTGGAGGCATGTGCAAATATTGCTGAGGCTGATAAGGGCCCTGATATGGGTGGACAGAATAACGCAGCCTATGGTATTTTGCTAGCGTCTGAGCTACTACTGGGTGTCAGTCTGGCACCTTATTTGTCACTTGGCATCGCTTATATAGATGAAAATTGTGATCCCATCTCATCTGCATTTTATGTAGGTAAGAATAAAATAATACCGAACGCTTTTGTGATTTTATTTAAAGAGTAGAATGGATTTCAACTTTAGAATCCACATCGCTCATATCATTCCCCTTTTTATATTTCCAGGCATTGCATACAGTATCGGAAATTTTGGAACAGTCATCGGGTTTCTTCTAGCAGGAGTCTTCCTGACGATGGACATTAACTTGACAGGTGACATTTTGCGAGACACACACCATATGATATGATATGATATACTAGTTTTCATAAACAATGGTAAGATTATACTCGTAAACTAAAACATCAGAATAATGTCAATTTTACAGATATGTTTCATATTTCAGCAACCGATCTCACCCCGGTTGATCCTGGCTGGCTTGGGGCCTGGTGGTTAGGATCACTGTTGTTGGCTGTCATAGCGTTCGTTGCCAATGTACCAATGTTCATGTTCCCAAAGAAACTACCACGTTCCGAGGAGGAGATGAAAGAGATCGCCAAACAAGAAGCGGCTACTGCAAACATTTACACTATAAGAAGTGAGATTTTAAACAATTTTAGTAACAACATTTAAACGTGTAATCGATGCCATGAATGCCATGATTATTATGCCATGAATCCATTTTTTCTCTACAATGGTATTTAGAATTTGATGTTACATGCATATAGAAATGTCAACCAGATACACATAAAAGCAGATGCACAAAAATAGCCAATAGCTGCTATGTAAACCATCTGGAATTTACTTTACAATGCAAAATCGCACTTGATTTACAGATTTCCCGAGATTGATGGCAAGGTTGTTCAGGAATGGAATATTTGTTGGAGCGTCTCTCGGAATGGCGGGAGTGTGTTACATCATATCCGGCTGCTACACTTTCCTGCCTAAATATATAGAGACACAATTCGGGCAAACTGCCTCACTTGCCAACATTCTTACTGGTTTGTATTGATTGAGCTTTTTTGATCAAGCATAATGTGTAATCTTGCTTCGTAGTCTTGCAACGTAGATAATTAAGGGAGCGGGGGGGGGGGTCAATTGTCTTGAAGACTAGATAATGGATTTTTAATGAAAACTGCAATACCATGCCTTTTATGTCTTTACTTCCTCTGTTACATTTTCTTATCTCATTTTAATAATTTCTTTTAGCCTAATTTGCTTGTAGCTTTTTTAATTCGTTTTAGCTGTCATTTCCGCATTTGCTATGTCGTCTGGCTGTTTCTTCGGTGGATGGGTTGCTGGTAGATTCAAACTAACACCTTATGGCTCTATCAAACTTCTTTTTGTAACTGACATCATTAGCATAGCTGGCCTGATAAGCCTTATATTCGTTGGATGTCCTCAAGTTGAGATAGGGGGTACCTTGGGACCTGAAGGGTATGCCATTCCCTTGTTGCATTTCTGCAATTTTCATGTCTTCGTTAATACCATAATTCTAACTATAGTATCTAATAACAACTGCTGTTACTTATAACAATTTATCGCACTTTGTCTTATGCAGCTTATCGATTTTAATATTAATTTTCTACAAAATTGTAAAAAAATTGTGACACATAAACGCTGGGGTACTTTGAGCCTACTCTCCATTACATGTTATATAGCGTAAACTAGTTTTGTCTCATTCACAGACTTATAGATGTCACCCAGGATTGTAATTCCAACTGTTCCTGTGGTATGGGCTACAACCCGGTGTGTGGTGAGAATGGCATGAACTACCTCACACCTTGTCATGCTGGCTGTGACTTTGGAGAGCTCTTGGAGGATGGACTCTCGATGGTAATCTCATCAAGCTGAATCCAAATTTCCTCGTCATTGTATATTCTTTTAGTGATGATGAATTGATTCAAGAGCCTCTCTTTTAGACATTCCTGGTATATTTATTATGGAGACTTTTGCAACTGGACGAAATATTGTAATTGTTTTAATAAGTAAAATAAATGTGGTCAACTCTACCTGAGGGGGATTCAGTCATAACCTATTTTAAGATCACGGTTCTTGTGTTACATATCCATGATTGTAAACAACTCGATGCGCAAATTGACATTCCAAACATTTTATAGCTTTATGTTCTAAGTCATCAATCATTACTGTTTACAAAAGTACGGGAATGAATTTTAAATGTAGTTAGAAATGAAATAAATCGTTCAGAAATGTGATGGACTTTAGACACTTAATTTATATTCATATCATTGAAAACTATTCATTTCAGGTATACTCAAATTGTTCGTGTATAAATGGTCTGACAGCAACATCCGGGTGGTGTGAAACAGGATGTAACACAATGCTCATCGTGTATTCTATTATACTCTTCGTCTGCTCATTCGCTACATTCACAGCCGTATCACCGGCCTTATCCATCATGTTAAGGTTTGTCCAAATCCCTCACTTTAGATGGGAATGAAGAGAGGTATAGTTCTTTTCATTTCCAAGAATTGTGTTGAGATCAGAGTGCTTTTCTCACATGATTTCCATTGCCATGCACATTTTCTGCATCAAAAGAGTTCATAATAAATGCAAGAAAATAAAACATGTACTTGTCATTTATTATAAGCTTAAATGCGTCATTGTATGTTTGTAGATGTGTCGATGATGAATTAAAGTCGCTGGCGCTTGGGGTAAATGCAGCGTTGATGAGTTTACTTTGTAAGTTAAATTAATTGATTTAGCAATAGAATATTAATCACTTGCTACTTGAGATACATATGGTCCTTATTTTTTTCTATTCTCGCTTAACATGTTTAAATGTATTGCTTCTCACGACGTCTACATAGTTTCATTGATACCCAGTACCTGATTACATTACGGGGTGGGGTAAAATATATATCAATTATTAAAACTTATCGCTTTAGAAGAAATTGCAATTTGGTCGACCCTGTACATATACAGTAATCTTAACTTCAAGTAATATATAGGTCATTAACAAACAACATGTCTGCCATGTCCATTCAAAAAGATACATCATCTATTTACGTCCTCTGAGTTTACTTCATTCGTATTGCACTTTATTGTCGGGTGGCACATTATTAATCGTGTCAAATATTAAGTTCTTATTACTTGCAATATTAATTGTATCCTATAAACGTCTCTTATACATACGTACATTATACATAATATATATATTTATTTATTTCAGCTATGTTGCCAGCACCGATGATTTATGGGGTGTTGATTGATACAAACTGCTTCCTTTGGGAGGAGAGTTGTGACGGGGAAGGTTTTTGCATTCTGTACAACATGTCCGCCTTCAGGTACATTTTACAAGTCATTCTTGCAAGTGCACGTTCGTTACAAAGTAGTATGTTTACGGGTTTGTTTCCATATTCTCGAAATGTTGTCTTCTGAGGCGTTTTCAATTCTGTTTGTTAAATCCAATATTTCAAGGATCTGCTTAATGGCACACGTGGTCAGTTTACCATCCATGAGTACGTGTGGGTAATTGCTAAGCCAGTTACAATCTACGAGGATATTTACTTTTGGGCAACCAATTAAGAACTACTTTTACGTAATCTGTATCGTTATTTATCGTACATTTTAGGCAGCTTCTACATGGTGCTACAGCAGCTGTGCAGTCTTCATCTTTGCTATTCTATGGTTTAGCCTGGTACAAGATGCGAGGGATGACGTGGGAGGAAGATGAAGATCCATATGAACCTGTAAGCAATGGAGATGCAGTTGGGGACACCATCAAGAAAGAATGGATCGACCTACGCACACAACAAAAGGTCGTAGGAGACAAACTTGCTGATAATAAACGTGAAGAAGTTGAACGGGTTAGCGTTGTTTGATATTATGTGTAAGCATTTTAGATGGTTGCGTATGTATGAATATCTTATATGGGTGTTTGAATCATTTTAAAGATTGTCTAGGTGTAGGTAAAGAATAACGAGTGATTTATTTATGCTTCAGTTGAATGGATTTGAGAAGGCAGGTCATCCGTCCCCAGTTTGGTTACATCAAGTAAAATCTATCGATGCATCTCATCGCCACTCAAGTGAAGCGTAGATAACGACATCTTTCTAACAAGTGGAATAATTTTGGGAAAGAAAAAACATGTTATTGAAAGGCAGGGTCAGATCTATAAGGGAGTGACTAAATTGCAAGCAATGTACAATTGACGTATTCTTTTCAATCTTAAAATCTACCAAATATCCAAGCTATGTATCAATTGGTGAAGTGGTTCACATTTGAAAGTGCAAAAATTGAAAAAAAATTATTTTCCGAAATAATAAAAAGGGTAACTATATTCAATTATAAAAAAAGTGAATGCATTATTGTAGAAATCTTTCGTTTTTCCCAAATAGAGTACACACCTTGGGGATTCCTAGAAAATAGACATTACAAATTAAAGATAAAAACCAATATAATATCAATTTTTGTAAAGATGACTGAAACCGGTGCGTTTCATCTTGTTCAGCATCTTGCTAGATCTGATTCTGCCTTTGATATTATTTGTGATACTATTGGTATTACAAGGTCGTGGATACACTAGTTGTGTCTATTTTCAGGGGTTCTCATACACGTGGGCCTTTAACTTAGATAACAATATAAAAGCAGAATCATTGGATTATAAAGAGAGACATAGTAACGTCTAAACATAATTAGGAACGTTTGTATTGACAGATGTTATATTCAACACAGAATCATGGGCTTATGTGCAATATGTAATAACCATAGACGATATGATCAGAAGCATTTTTCATGCAAAGGCAACTTATATATGCGTAATGCACTGTACTGTACTGTACTGTTTCATGGTGAAAAGGATACTGGATAGTCATATTTGTGAAAATATCAACAAGATTGTAATCGTTTATAAAATCATTGTTTATATTATTTTATTTTGATGTTAACCTTGAAAGTTGACAAGCTGGCATATCAGTATTTCCAATTTCATTATTGTGTACAATACAAATACTTACTATGTTGTATATTTGTTATCATATTTTACTAAATATAAATAAAATTCGAAATAATAGCTTTACTCGTGAGTATCCTGTCGTCATAATTAAAGACAGCCTTGGAAAATTTTGAAGGGCCCGAGAGAGTAATAAAACTTTCCGTATGGCACTCTTTCGTTTGCTCTACCAAGTAAATAAAAAGTAAGTTATATTAATTTCAAGTAAATTTTAAACTACAGGCAGAGCCAAAAAAGGTAACCCAAACAAATCGGAATAACTCCGTCATCCAGTATGGATTTTAAGTTATATATCTGGCACAATTGAACCTTGATGAATGTTATTTCATTCCAACAAGTTTAATAGGTCTATTTTAAATGGTCAAGATTTTATGACTATTTTCCAAAACATGCTCAAAATGTCAATTTTGTCTTTTGAGGCAAACTTGAATGCATCAGGTGAAGTTTTCTGATTATACGCTCACAGATATATTGTGTAATGGCTCTCATTTTCCTTCTAATCTTTGTTTCAACTCTCTGTATAATTGGTGAATTTTGCACTAAACTTGTATAAATGTACCTCTTTCGAAGGTCCCAAAATACTAATTTCCCTCGATTTTCCACAATATGGAAATCCGCAGTGAATAATTTTTTGGTCACTCATGAGACCCCTGGTGTCAATTTTAGCCCCTAACTCCACAGGAAAAAGATTTTTTTCAATCAGATGGTGTCATGTTATTAAGAAATGATTTATCTTGATAGAGAGTATGGTTTAACATGTATCATATGGTATTCATCGTTAAACTTGTGTATTGGTTTTTTGGCCCACCTTGTATATATGGGCCAATTTATGATAATTGATGTTTTAAAAATCTGTTGCATTGTTGTACTAGAGATGCGACATATATGTTGATTTCATTGACATGCAATGTGTTATTTTTTGTTGACCAGACTTTAAGCAATTATAACCGCAAGGTACCTGTTTGGAATATTCCTTATCTTTTTAAAAAACATCACTTTAGTGATGGATTTTAAGACAATTAAGAAATATTTTATTTTTTTCGGCAAAGATAAACTCGGATTTTTTAACCTAAAATGTATCGATTGCGTTGATATTTTTGAACATGTTAATAACATGTATGTGCTACCAACTCTTAATCACATAATTAAGTATTTTTTACTATATGTATACGATTTGTCAAATATTTGTATCCTCCAACACATCGGCCATATTAATATACAATATTGATGTATTATTTGGTAAAAGCTATGCCAGAGGGTGCATTTTGATAACATATCTTAAATTGCAGACAATGGAGTTATATGACTGAGTGTAGGTATTTCTGTCGTGAATTCAATTTGTCTAGATAATGAGATAAGGCTTTCCAATATTTTGTATCCTCCAAACATTAAAATATCATATTTGGGAAAATATATTTTTTGGATTATTATTTTTAGAAATGAAAGTACTTTAAAGAAGCGTTTAGATCATCATTATTTAATTTTTGAATTATTTCAATTGTCTTTGAAAAACGTTATTAAGCATGCGTTGGAGGATACAAATGACTTAAAAATATTTGAAATATAAACGTGCTAGCGAAAGTTAGTTGTATTCGTATTTTTATGTTTATATTTAAATTATAGCAAAGAATGAGTCATTGCCAAACCAGAAAACAATATATTTCACTCTCGGTTTCACATAAGATCATGTTATAACTTTCTGGGAATTCAACATGCTATGCTTTCTTTTTATTTCCATGACTGACACATAACCATGCCACTTTGAATGATGTTTTTCATTTCCGGATTGCTCACGCTGCGTGTTTTTTCATAATATTATATTTTGAAAGCCGTTTGTCGTTCCCTATGATGAATGTTTGGCCTTTACCCGAAAGGATAAATGTATCTTGCACATCTTAGTCATTGTAAGTGCCAGAATTCTTTTATATCGATTCCAATGAAAATGATTGCACCCATTGCAATCTTTATACTTTACATGCAATATGAGCAACATGCCCGTAGTATACCCTTTTTGGATTTATTCACCTAAAATGGCATTCGACACTGTATGCCATGATGGTCTCATGTTAAAGCTTCTAAAATTGGTCTTGGTCTAAAATTCTACAAAACTGTGAAAGACGAGAGTAGAGAAATCAAGGACTTTGAAACATTTAACTCAGAAGAGAGAAAATCTAATGGAAATGGCTAATTATCCCTTGGATTAAAACCTAAAACCCTTCCCAGTAAAAATACCTTTTTTCCATAATAACATGTTTTACCTGGGAAATAAACAGGGAATAAAATTGATATTCAACAAATCCCGTGTCAGATCCCGTATCGGCCGTAATCCCGTTTCAGATCCTATATTGGATCCCGTATGCGCCAAAATCCCGTATCAGAAATATTCCCGAGAATTTCTCTTGATTTTTACACTTCTTGTTCCATTTCAACACTTGTTAATAAAAGTTTAAAATGTTATGATACATCACCATCATCATCAAATTTGAAAATAAATAAGTTTCAGAAAATATGTAATGGAATAAATAGGTTACTGTTGTGATGGAATATGTTTTTTTCGTCGAGAAAATATGACATTGGCCTCGTAAAATATCATATGAAACTGACTGTTGCCCTCGATCAATATGATATTTTCCTCGGCCAATATTATATTTCCCTCGGAATAACATTCATATTCTATCCCTCCCACTGAACATTCTCTATTTATCCCATGATTTTACTTTCAGGTGAAGACACCCAGAAATATTTTTGATATTGAAAAAAACGTATTGTCCCGCCCAATCCCGTTCCTGATTTTTGTATTCACCTCCCAATTCACATCCCGGGAATTTTTGTCAATCAAAGCTTCCTTTGACGTTCAGCCTGGTCGATATAGCGTGCTATAATGATGTTCCCATGTTAGAAACGATATTTTCCAAATGAAAATAGAGATTTTTGAAACGCAAGAAGTATGAAGCCTATTAAACAAAGGTGAACTGTAATGCTCTGACACGGACAGTCAACGTCATGGAAATCCGAACAATATGCGAATGCCCTGTGATGGAAATGTATACGTAACGTTAATTTTTCTTTTTTAAAGCCGTTTGTCGTTCCCTATGAAATGTCAGGAAGTTAAGTCATATTTTGTAGACTAAATATATAGTCTGGTTTTGTTTCCTACAAAAATCAGATATGGATTTTAAACTAATGATTTTATGAAGAGATTCTTGTTAATATCATTGGATAAAAAGCGTATTTGCTTCCACTAGATGACCTCTATGTATTCCATACCTGATAGAGTTTAAGCGACATATTTCCTGGGAATATATTTTATATCCAGGTGAATATATTGCACATGTCCCGCTCCAAGAAGGATCAGGAATATTTAGAGCATATATCCCGCTCTAACCGTTCTCTGGGACTTACCGCGGTGGGCTATATATTCCACCGCGGGAATTCCCGTCATTACTATTTCACGACTGAACTAAACAAAATACAAAGATATAAAAAATATATTTAAGGAAAATCTTTTTAATCAATACTATGGGCGTTCACAGTATGAGTGACGCAAATACATAATTCATAATTTTGTCTCATATGTGTTGGTAGTGTTGCGGGACTAGTTTTTTGGCCATTCCATTGTAACCCAGGGGGTGTGTATTTTCAAAGATGAGCATTCGTATTGGCACGTTCGATAACCAATTTTATAAACATAGCCATTGCCATTGAAATTGATCCCCGGTAATTGGTCTCAGAATGTTCGCTGTAGTTTTATGATTATTCTCTACAATTTTGGATCGAGCAACTTAAATAGTATTGCCGTCGTTTAGAAATGAGGATGTTAAACTGAATGACTGATGTTGAACTGAAATAAACGCCATTTCCACGATTTCAAATTTTATTTGCGCATGTGCAACTCTGAGAGAGCACGTGCTTATGATTGTTCATGTGATTATATCCTGCAATGTGATTAGACTTCATGTATTGATGGGCGTGATTTGAATAAATTATGTTCATGAATACGAAGGAATATGAAAGAATTATGGGAGCTACTCACCACTACTGATTGTTACCCGTAGTGGATTAGCAGCCTTTGTTCACCTAACCTCCTGTGCAGCTAGAGGGTCATGCTGCCATCATTTTAATGTCTCCCAGTCGCATGCCTCTTGACCCATCCTTGGCATGCATGTGTATTGTTCTTCAGCTTTTCAAGGGCCTCTGAGATGGCTGTATAGAATCCTTAACAACTTCAAATGTTTTAAAGTATTAGATTGCGACAATTTTGTCATTCAGTTAATGATTAAAATAAATGTTTCATTCTCAATGCCTTATCATAATAAAATACTCGAAAGATATATGATACATAAATCTTACAGGAGATTTTTAAAGTACTAAGACGTGGATTATACAAGGCTACATGTAGCCTGTATGGATATATACATATTTCCCTCGGGATAAATGCTATATGGCAGATGTATCTCATACCTACGTGATCATCTAGCTCTTATATAGAATTTAACAAAACATGCAGTGAGATTTAATTTTGAAGCAAAATCAATTTTGTATTCAAATAGTAAAAGTAATCATTGCACATCGATAATTATCATTATAAAGATATATAGAGACAAAATTCCTCATCATATAGTGATTTAAACCGGGGATTTAAATTTTTAGTGTAGATAATTGGATATTTGAATGAAAAATTGGTGTCCATTTCAAATTGTAGTTATTTGATATTGTTCAAACATTAGATCAGTTGATATAATTTAGTATTGAAAAAGTAATTTCTGTTAAAATCATTAATTGTACATCGATAATTATCATTATAAAGACATATAGAGACTATTATAAATTTCCTCGTCGTACAGTGATTAATTCTTTCAGTCGTTTTTGGATATATGAAAAATAGATTGGTGTCCATTGCAAATTGTAAAGCTATTAGATGTTGTTCAAACATTAGACCAGTTCATAAATTATTTTTATTCGCCATCTTATTTTAGTATATTGAGCATGCAATTTAATAGTTTATAAGGGTTAAAGCGTTGTTCTTTTTCGTGTCCAGTTTGTTTATGCATTCCGTTGGCTATCAAGATTTAAAAACCCCATGTTGCTTGTGGGATTGGTGCTTTCAATGTATTCTCCAATCTCATGAACTGCCTGGTGTTAGTTGGCAAGTCTCTTTCAAACTCAAGGCAGAAATTCGGGATGTAATTCGGCACTACCTGTCGCCTGTCAACACCAATCACCAGTGGGATAAATCTTGGTAGCTCTCCTGTGTTAACGAGAAGTCGGAAAACTGTGTCAGATGCGAATGCGGTGTAGTTGTCATCGTTGAAATCTTCATCAAAGAGCACGATGTAGTATTTGCATTTCTCTAGGGAATCTGGGATTTCGCTTAAAGAAGGTTCTGTTGTTGTTGAATCCCTCTTTGAGAAATATCCACGAAGCCCACTTTCCTCCAGTTGATTTACGATGAAAGTCGCATTTCTGATGGAATTTTCTGAATTCTCGTTACATATCACCCAGAAGTCATAGATGGGTGGTCCGGGCCCTGAAGGCCCAGGCCCAGTTACCGATTCCTCTTTCACCACGTGTGCCTAAAAATGAAGTTTGATGCTTTCATTATATTTATTTATTTTCGTTACATATCACCAAGAAGTCATAGATGGGTGACCCGGGCCCCGTGCCTGGGGCAGGCAAGATTTCATCGTGCCCCAGGCGTGCCTAGAAATCAAATTTTATGATTTGATAATGAGCATTATTTCATTAGTGTAAATAGTGCTTTTAAGGCAGAATCAGATCTATGGGGGTGACAAAATTACAAGCAACATGTACAATTTACCTATTAAAAGTGCAAAAATGAGTGAAAATGTTTAAATTCTCCCAAATAATAAGAATGGTTTACCATTCCTATAGAAAAATAATACATTAATGTAAAAATCTTTAGTTTTCCTGATATAAAGTGTGTACTTTGGGGATTTTTAGAAAATAGATATAAAAAGGAATGATACAAGCCAGAAATATTCTAAAATTGAAACAATTTTTTGTTTGGCTGCTCGCTGATTCTCTCTTTAAATCTGGGTCTCGATGTCAAAATAAAGTACGAATTGCAGTGACGAAATTTTATCACTGAAAAGGATATAATTGCTGAGTTTCTTAGCTTCAATGCTTTAACCAAAACTTACCATCACTCTTCCTTTGAAGTTCACCCAGTAATATAATTGTTGTTTTAATCCAATGAACCTGGAAATAAAGAATTTGTAATAAATAGTATGTTTAGCATCTACCTATAGAATACACAATTATACGTTTGAAAAAATTGCAATGGTATATCAAAACTATATAATAGATTACTAAGATGCCAATAGAAAAAAATGATATCGTAATTAAACATTCGAGATGTCATATATAAAAAATGAATATGCAGCGTTACATTTTATAGACGTGGCTTTAAAATGATTACTCATAGTTAGTCAAAGATATTGGTCTACAAAGAAATGGTCCACTGAATCTTTTGGTCTTGAATTAGGCAACCAGTTGCCATGTTATTCGAATCGAACTAGCTACACTGCCTTGTGGATATACTTGTATTTGTTTTTTTGTATTTTACTGATTTAAACAGATTAAACTGAGAGTTGCAATAATACAGTTACATTATATGTAAAACATGAATAACAAAAAACATAATTTTGGGCTACCATAGCAAAAACTATTGTTCCAAATTATCAATGGAAATATATGTTTTGTAAGTCTAGACAGGAAGTCCACTTGATTGACTCTTTCAAAATTGCCCATATACTCAATACTCAATATACCGTACGTTGATCTTGAATACTGATAAACCCAAATTGATCCGACATGTTTGAAATGACTACGCTTTACTCTTGCCGGGATTTTTGTTTTCTTAGTTTGTATATTTTTTATTTACAAAATACAGAACAAGTTTAGCTCATATTTATGGTTTTCCTCATTTTCAAGTGGCTGATTTCAAATGGTATTTTCAAAAACCTCAATACAACTTTGTGAGGTTTTCAGATTTTTGATTGATACATCTCAAGTTTAGAAATACAATTTCGTCAATATGTAGGAATACCAATGGACAGATTGTGCTCGGCATATTTTTTCTATCCTCTTATGTGTATAAGTTTTAAGTTATAAGTTTTACGAAGAAAGATAGAACTTCATGGGGTAAGAAAATGATGATAACAGAAATTTATATATTTTGAATCTTTTTGAAAAGTCCCTGCCGTAGAGGCATATGGATCATATACAGTGTGTAAAGGCCTGTGTATAAGACATATTATCCTATGCCAAGTAGAGTTTTAGGGAAACAATTTGGTAAGATATATCCCGCATCCTGACGAGGTTTCCATATCAAGAACCCCCATATCTCCAGCTCCAAGACATATCTTTTCACTTTGAAGAAAAATTTGAAAAAATGAAAAATTTGAAAAAAAATTTGAAAAAAATTTGTCCCTCGTGAGATATGCGATTCAGTCCCTACGGTTCCTCGGGTAGCTAGATGTGTGTATGTATAATTTATTTGCCTCTTAATAAGAAGGGAGTTACATTCACATTATTACACAAACCTTAAGAATAAAATTGCCATCGATCTTGAACATTCAAATTGTTCATTTCCTATGTTAATCATGGGTTCCCTGACTCCAGAAAGAGCCGGACACTTTAATACGAAATGTTTCACAGTTTCATTTTCATTGAGCTCATAGAGCAGCACACATGTCTTACATACAGACGTATCACCCTCGAGACGTCTACTGTTTACATCATATGTTCCAGTTAATAATTTGATCGTGATCTTAGTACAGTACATAAAATTGGGGTTATTTCTAACAATAATCCACCAAAAATTTGGCTCAAATTCCAACAAAGAACCTGCCATCATATTCAAACTCTTGGACATCAATGTCGATAGCACAGTGTTACGAGTATCTTTGACTCTAGTAGTATATCTAAAATTCAGTTTACTTGGGTATTTAGCATTAAAAACCATTTCATTCACAATGTCAGTAAGGTTATACTTTAGAACCGTTTCCCACATATAATATATGGGGGACTTCATGTGTTTACAGGTTACAATTATATGCATAGATCAGATATACATAGATCCCTCTGGATAAACCCCATATCCAAAACCTCCCAGTACATAACCATTATATACAAGAGGTTATCTGAGTATCTGTACATAAAATTGTTTCGATTCTGGTACGCGTACCAGAATCGAAACAATTTTATGTACGGTTTCAGGTTTTAAGTATATAGTTCGGTCAAAGTTTACCGATATATAGTCAACATAGTTATAAAATGAGATCGATTTTTCATTTTTACGCACAAATAATTATGTACATTATGTACATGTACTAACTTTAAAACTGCATGATCTAGGCGAGGTAAATCTTAAAATGACAAAAATAATTATTTTATTAACAACCCGATAACATAAGATCTCCCTATACCTCTGTATTATATCAATGTTAAATCATATTACTTACTGTTGATGTGTCTCTGTCGAATGACTTATTTTAGATATTTAACATCTGAAACTGAAACCAGAAATTTCGGTTTCGATACCCGTTTCGTATATACACTTAAGACAAGATGTTTAATTGAAATTGTTATCAATCTGATGACCCGAACCGTTTCAGGCATTAGATAATAGATATGGGTATATTGGTAGAAAGGTGCATGGAATATAACAATAGAAATATATTGCACAACATCCCGTAACTCCAGAGCCACGGGTATGTGTGGTATAGTGTACCTATTTAATTATTCTTTTTTAACTGTATGTACTTTATCTTTTTTAACTGTATGTACTTTATATATATCTTTTATTGACTCTTTAGATGTCATGACCTGACTTCTGACTTATAGACTGTTATACTTAATGTAAAACAATAATTTGTATCTCTATTGAAATATGGACAATAAAGATATGCAATACAATACAATAACATATGTTTCATACGTGAACCGATGAGCATATAAAGCAGATACAGATGCAATAACGATAAGACCATATGAAATACGTCCACCAATCTACAAAATATTTGAACATGTATTATATATTGATCAAAAGTAACACTCATATATCATCAACTGGTAAATAAATGTCAGTATGATAAGAGTATAGTTAATGGAGGTTGGGCAGTTTGAATTTCGAGATTATATGGGCATAATTATTTATTTTAGATAAAGGAGAATGAGGATGAGATTAAGAAGAATAAATGTTCTTATTATATAGATAATAGAATAGGAGACCCTGCAGGGGCGGATCTGGGAACCAACAAGGGGGGGGCAAATTTCCATTCAGAGAAAAAAAGTTCCGCGGAAAACAATTTTGGGCTCCTAAACCCCAAAAGTGGGCCCAAATTTTGAAATTTGAGGCCCATTTTCATCCAGCCCCCCCCCCCATAGATCCGCCAGTGCCCTGCATCAATGCTACTTATCAAATATAAAAAAATTGAAGTCCTCACGTCAATGTGTTTCTGAAAATGACTGGGTCCAGCTTTCCTTATTCATGCAAAAAATTTAAAAATTGAGCTTCTGGCTTCGACAAATAACAGCGTCCAGCTTTTCCGACCTGGATATGAGAATGATGAGTTAGTGTTGAAATTCTGACCACCGAAAAAGGTGAGAATCACTGAGTTAGAACTTAACCCTCCTTGACCAAAGAACCCAACACCATTTACATTTTCTAGATGTCCTTGTATAACACCCATCTACTATACTACCCAATGAAGTGCATCAATGTCCATCTAGTGAGTGTTGCCTACTTCTCTTTCACTGGTCAATAGGTTGTGTACCACTTTAATTATATACTGCTATAAAAAGCTAACCTAAACTGATCCTACCTAGGTTGACCTAAAGTGAACAAATTGAAAGACTGGGCAGTGTAAAGCTATAAAGGAATAACTGCTTGAATAACTTCTGTTTTTTTTTCAAATATTCCAGAAGTAGACATATTAATAACTTTCACAAAAAGGTCTGGAGAAAATATTTCTTTTAGTATTATACATTTAAATTTACACCATGGGCGCAAAATCAGAATTATCAGAGGTGAGTATTACATTTATCAATAGTTTATGAAAATGTCGTTACTTTATAGAATCTCCACCTCTGTTGTAGTACGTAATTGTACACTTCTTCATATCTATACTCATGGATGTGGGTTGAAATAAAAACTAAACTGAAACTGTTTTCAAAATTTTTGGTATATAATTATTCAACCATGAAAACCACTACAGAATCTTACTTTACAATTTATTTATGAAACCTTTACTGTATTCACCTTTTAATGTTTGCACCACGTTTTATGACAAAAATGAATGGACCTTTCTTGCACCACAATTCTAGCCAACAAAATAACCGATAAAAACGATGTAATGAAAACAAATAATTGAATGATTTTAGAAAACCTGATAAACTTTTCATTAGGAATTCATTACGAGCTGTGATTCTGTTCATCAATTTTTATGATTGTAGATAAGGGATATTCTTCATAAATGTGGACCACCCTTGCACCACAATCGTTTCAACAAAATTGACGATAGAAATCGAAATAAATATTAACAAATAATTGAAAAGCTACCCATATTGAATATCTAGATGGTAAAGTTCAAAAATTATTAAATCCACTTATGGCACTTAAGTATAGATTAAATTCCAAACACCTGGAAAAAATGTACTCTTCCTTTATCCTGTTTCATCTGGACTATTGTGATGACATTTATGACGCTGCTCCAGCTACCAGCCTAGACCAGTTAGACAAGCTACATGTTGGTGTTATGCAAGGAGCAAGCACCGAAAAAAACTTGAAACATTTAATTGGGGTAATCTTCAAAATAGATGGGATGAACATAAATTGCGCGTTATGTTCAAGATTCAAAACAATTTGGTACCATCTTATGTAAAAAGGATTTTTGAACGATGAAAATCACCTCAGACGCGAGATCTTAAACAACCAAAGACTACAAACTACCAGGCTCAATTAGTAAACAAAATGGAAACGGGAACAGTTTGCTCGATGATAACATTGTGGAACCGTCTTCCTTGAGAACATATGGAAAAATTTCGTACATTTTGGCGACAAGGATCTGACATTTATGAAAACAATTCCAAAGTTTTTAAGGCAGCTTTAAATTTCACCGAAACACAATTAAACATGCGATATCAGTAATTCAAATGCAGGGCACCAATGGGGGTACAGATAGGTAGAAAAACAGATTGTATTTAAACTACAATATTTTTATAATAACTATGACTAAATGTAATTGTATATTTGTAATTTAAATTCACTTAAAGCGACAGTAGAAATGCCCTTTCTGGGCAATGATTGTAGAATTTTAGAAGAGCCTATGAACTTTTCATTAGGATTCATTTCGAGATGATTCTGTTTATCACTTTATGATTGTAGATAAGGGATATTCCTAATTTTTGGCTAAGGAAGTTTGCAACTTTGATGTTTGCCTACGAGAGTGCAAAGAAAAATGGACATGTCGGCTATGACAGCTTAATGAACGTTGCTGACCGTATTATACAAATAGGTGAAAATACTTTTTTTATTTAATCATTTCTTATTTCCTTCGTGTAACAAAAAATCAAAGTACACATTATTTACAGTGGACACCCTATCGATGGGTTATAGATAGATTAAGCCAACAACATTGAAATTTTTGTTTTACTTTATACCCTTTTTTATAAAATATTGCCAGCCCAATACGATTGAAAGATAATCTTATTGCATGCAAATGTATTTTCAAATGGTACCCTTTTAAATTAAGTTAAATTAAATACTCTGAATGGAGATGGCCCGAATTTTGGTTTTAGGGCCCTTAAAATTTTACGCGCGGCCCTAGGATGGGCCTAGAAAAAAACGTTGGGCCAAAAATATTGTAGGGCCTCTTTAGTTGGCCTTTACTTGACATTTTTACTTGACCTTTTTGGGCCTTCAAGTTTAGGCCAAATTTTCAAAAAATGTGCAATAAATTTTCTAAATTTTGGTTCTAGGTTTCTAAATGGTTTTCTGCGCGGTCAAAGGATGGGCCCATAAAAAATGTTGGCCCAAAAATATTGTAGGGCCTCTAAAGTGGGCCTTTTTGGCATAACTTGCCCTTTATGGGCCTTATTTTTACAATTTTAGGCCAAATTTTCAAAGAACGGGCGATAAATTATCAGAATTTTGGCCAACATTTTGGTTTTAGGGCCCTAAATTTTTTCTCCTGACTGGACCTTTTTGGGCATTATTTGACCTTTTTGGGCCTTATTTTTTCAATGTTAGGCCAAATTTTCAAAAAACGTGCCATAGATTTTCTAATTGTTGGTCCAAATTTGGGTTTTAGGGCCCCAAAAAGTTTTTTCCTGACTTGAAGTGTGGGTCCCCCCTTGTTAGCTTCCGGATCCGCCACTGTCCTTTACAATACAAATGAGGTAATTTTAGTTTCAAAACGGGTTTTCCAAAACTTGCAAAACACCAACCTTTCTGTCAACTTTATTTACACAAACCGACGTTCAATATGCCCGCGATATTTGATCAATTATAGCCCTGAATATTGGCCCTAACTGGTCACCATCGATATGCTGTTGAGATGATGATTCCACTTCTCAACAATAATTAGGGACTGAGTATATGTAAAGGGTTCATGGTAAACCAATTCTGTTAGATCTCCCAAAACGTGGTAGTCACAGACGTTGATATCGCATTATCCTATACTATTATATTGTTTTAAGACCATCCTGATATGAGCTCATTCTAGAATCATTATGTTTTCCAACAAGATGGGGTTCCAAGCAATAGATCTGACATAAGAGTCAAATGTTTAAAGGAAAATGTACCTAGATTCATCCCACCTAACACTGCCTCCCCAGATCTCCTGTTCACCCAACGTCTGCGACTACCACGTTTGGGGAGAACCAAAACGGGTTGATTAAAACAAACGAACAGCAAACGAAATGAATATTTACAAATCTGAGTACCAGGCTTCAACTTGTAATTCGGGAGAAAATGGGTCATATCAAACATTGACTAGTTTAATGCATTTACTTTGTTGTATGCAACTAAAAACTCTACATCAAATCCAAAAGTGACTGAACTATCCTCAATAAAGTTTTGGTGCATTTCAGAGAAAAAATAAAGATTTTGCGTTTAATAAACAAATGTTCCAATTTTGGGAACGCCCTGTACTACTATAAAAAGTTAATATGGTCCTAAGTTGGCCTAAAGTGAACTCTTTGAATACCTGAAGTTAAACTCTATGGAACTTAAAAGATAAACAGGAATAACTGCTTGAATAACTTCTGTTTTTCAAATACTTTAAAAGTAGACATATCAATTTTTCATCCCCATCTAAAAACCGACAGATCAGCTTTTGAAAATTATAGACCTATAACTTTACTTCAAGGATTTTCAAAAATCCTGGAGACAGTTGTCCACTCTAAAATTACCGAACATATTTTTAGAAACAAACCGCTTTTTGCAAAACAATCCGGATTCTTAGCTGGTCATAATACTGAACTCCAAATTACGGTATTTGGAAAAACATTTAAGATCTGCACTCTTAACCCTTACCGTTTAAGTAACATAAGTGAGGAATTAAATCGACGATATAAAACATATGATACTGATATACGTTTGTGAGAAAAATATCGTGGGGATTCTGCCTACAACGAGCGAAATAAGCACAAAAGAAAAATCGTACCTTCGACGTTCCGACTTATTACCAAAACGAACTGTTTTGATAACCAGCGTAATCGAGTGGATCACCCGTGCCTATAATGCACATTGCGCATAGGCAACGACCTGTGTAACTTTTTTGCTGCAATATAATTGAAATAAATGTATAATGAACTGAATAAAAAAGTCTAGTCTCTTTCTTTTACCCTGTGAGTAAATCATTATTCACAATCAAAGCACAAGAAATATAATATCGATAAGGCAAAAATAAGAAGGTGCTATTATACATATGGAATCAACATCATGAGCGCAAAATTAGAATCATCAGACGTGAGTATATTTATTAAAAGTTTCGTATGTTGAATGAAAATGTCATGTGATTAAAGAAAAACACTTTGATGGGCCTATCTTGCACCAAAATCTTAACCAACACAATAACCTATTAAACGTAACTTTGTAATAAATAAAAAATAATTAAATGATAGAATAGCCGATGAACTTTTCATGGACTCTCTTGAAAGCCCATGCTGTAATCAAGGTAATTTAAGGATATCCCGTCTTTGAAGAAGCAAAAACGCAATCAAACAGTTAATTAGTTATTGTGTGATCTAGATTACAGATCAAAGAAATCAATTCCAAGATCATTATTACTATGTATTTAGTTCGTTGTATTTTTTAAAAAGGGGTACAAGAAAACTATGTTTTAATATATCAAGGGCAGGGTGCTCCTGAATCTGATAGTTAAAGCGTATGCTAGTATGAGGGGCGACATTTAAAGTAAAGCATTGTTTTAAATCCTGGGAAAATGCACTCACCCATTTTGCAAATATTGTGTGATGCCAATAAACCCTGAAATTTGTTTTTGTTTTCGCGAGCAATTATTTATTAATCATTTTTATTTCAAGTTCATATATAACATTTAATTTCATACAATGAAAATTCAACAAGGTTAATCAATTTAACATTTGTGTTGAACTTCGAAGTAAATATACCATACACTTATATGCAATACAAATTTGTTACAATTATTCGTAACTATTCATATATAAACAAAAAGGAAAAAGTACAATTAAAGCTGATATTGGAATGCTTTACAAAAAAAGGTGTGCAATGGTGTAAATTATGGGATGGTGTAATATACATGTTAGTCAATCTTGGTTGCTTTTAGGAATTTTAAAGTTGCTTTCAGCAGAAATGTATTATCTTCATTACTAAGTTCACTGTTACCATGCAAGAGCATATTTACTTTGCTAACAGAGTTAGCATCTAAGAATTTTTCTAAACAACCAATAATATGGAGATCTATAAGTAGTTGGATTCTATCATTTACAAATTGCATTGGGGGCAATCAACAAATATGTTTATGAAAATCTTGCGAGTCCAGACATATGATTCTCATTCTGTCTCAGCTTAGTGTTGATTAGATTTTATCCCCACTCTTCCGACGTCTGTGTCTCCCTCATTTTTACCCTATATTCAGTTTCTTTTTAAACCAAATTTACAAATATCCGTTCACATATATATATCAGTAGTTGTTTATGACAAGATTATTTTTATAGATTATCAAAAATTAAGGTAGCGTATTCTGTAATTTCAACTATATGTTAGCCCCCCCCCCCTCCCCTTCGCCGACAGTAATGTATTGTTTAAAATAATACTGCATCCACGGGCCAATTATTCTTTCACAATTTTGAGCAGTTTTCGTGTGATTTTGAACAAATATCAAATGTGACCCCACCCCTGGAATAAGTTAGCCCCCCCTCGCCGACATAGATGTCTAGTTTAAAATAATGCTGTATCCCCTGGCCAATAATTCTTTCACCATTTTGAGCAGTTTTCGTGTAATTTTTGAGCAATTATCAAATGTGACCTCACCCCTGGAATAATTCAAAAGTCATCCCCTTAGCAAATGCTGGATTCGGCCCTGGTACTTGTCAATGCGAAATAATGGGTGTTGATTAGTGGAAATACCCATTTAAACAGACCCTCTTAATTTATAACAAGTTAACAATTAAGAAGCCATGTTGCGATGTACTTTTCGTGACTCAAGTCGGATATAAAGTGAAAACATACTCTTTTTGATTTGATATCCCGTATTTAGCTAAAGCAAAACATGAAATATTAACACGTGCGGTAAATTATAATTTAAATGTTTCCATATATAGCGCAAAATCTCACATGGCAATATTTAATAACGACTAATTTTGTCTTGTGTCTAACCACGGAGTGCTTAGAGATTTCTAGACTCTAGTCACGCTCTGTCCACGCCAGCTCTAAGCACGTCTAAGCACGCCTAGAAATCTCTAGATACACGGAGTTCCTAGACCGACTAAGCACGTCTAGAAATTACTAGAAATTCCACATTTGATGCAGTGCATCATGTATATATTACGAGGTGATTTCGTTGATCACTTTATGATTATATATATAGTAGCCCGGACAGAATTGTTCAATGGTCACTTTTTCTTTAATAACTTTTTTAATTTTCAGTATTATCATAGTCTGGTCACATATTTGAAAACTAGAGTAAAATTCTGACATACAAAAAAATATTTAATGAACATCTCTTAATTTATTGATATTATAGGCGTTCATAGTATGACTGACGCAAATACACAATTCATCATATTGCCTCATATTTGTTCAAAATGGCGGCATATTTTGTGAATTTGAATGTTCAGTTGAAAGTTAATATTTAAAGATTGTAATAGGACTATAGGGCCATGCTGCCACCGTTACAATCCTTATGTAATGCAGCAACTGACCAGCCACCAAATACAAGAAGTCAGATCCCTCCAAGGGTATATGAAATCAACTCTGTTGAAATGTTTGGGGTTGTTTTCAAGAGGATGTGGAAAGGTGGCGCCCCAATGTGCAGGATGTAATGAGAGTAGGTCCTTAATCTTTTCAAGAGCTCCAAACAGCCATCTCAGAGGCCATTGAAAAGCTGAAGAACAACTCACATGCATGCCAAGGATGGGTTAAGGGTTAAGAGGCGTGTGACTGGGAAAGATATGACAAACTGTGGCAGTATGACCCTATAGTTGCACAAGTTAAACGAACTAGGGTTGCTAATCCACTACGAGTAACAATGGAATGGCCAAAAAACTGTAAGTGCTGCGACCTTACCAATATACTTACTGTACATACAATGTACAAACCTTTCTAGTGCTGGTATACATACAATACAAGTCAATTTAAAACAAAGGGTTATACATGCAGTCATAACCTCATACAAAGGCAGCAGTCTACATGATTTCGTAGGCCTATGACATTTCTTAAATATTAACTTTAATTTCAACTGAACATTCAAACCACAAACATGCCGCCGTTTTTGATCAAATATGAGACAAAATGTTGAATTATGTATTTGCGTCACTCATACTATGAACGCCTATAATATCAATAAATTAAGAGATGTTCCTTAAATATTTTTTTATTATTCTAGTTTTCAAATATGTAATCAGATTTTGATAATACTGAAAATTAAAAAAGTTATTAAAGAAAAAGTGACCATTGAACAATTCTGTCCGGGCTACTATATATATAATCATAAAGTGATCAACGAAATCACCAAAATTTGTAATAGAACTTAGAAAGAAAAGGCTCTTAAGTGTATACCAGTCAAGAAAAACAGACCCTATATAGCCCAAAACGATGATCTAACGTGAAAAGAAACAATGTCTAATACCCCCTTTGATTGTAGATAAGGGATATTCCTCATTTGTGGCTAAGGAAGTTTGCAACTTTGATGTTTGCCTATGAGAGTGCAAAGAAAGATGGACATGTCGGCTATGACAGCTTAATGAACGTCGCAGACCGAATTATAAAAATAGGTAAAAATATATAGACGTGTCGCAAAAAGGTCGCGCACGCATTGTTACACATTTTCGCTTTTTAACACCACAGAATGTGACGTTTTTTGAGAAAAATGTGCACATATGGAAATCCTTTCGTCCTCCATATTTGCCTCTATATCTCATAATGTTTAAGTCGAATAACTCTGATATCGTACATGTATTAACAATGGGATAGGAGCATCATAAAACACGATTCAATTGATATTTTAGGTGAAATAAATATACGTGTTGCTGTGCTTGAAAATAGGCGAATGGCGTAAATTAGCCCTATTTTAATGAATTTTGAAAACCTTTCGTCCTCCACTTTTACACATACAACAGAAAACACATACTTTTGCAAACAAAATCAACTATTTATATTATTAATAAAATAGAGTTTAGGAG